CGAGGTTGCATGATTAGAAAACATATTCTGATAACAATGTCACAATGTTTTTTGTTTTTGTTTGTATCGTTATCCATCGTGTAGTTGTCCGTTTTTTATCACAAACGTTGATAGAACTTAATTTTGTTAATCCGCCATAATCATATACAACCAAACATGTCAGATTAACAGGACATGACTGGATATTGATTAGATCAACCTCTACCACTGGCATAAACCTTCACATGACAACATATGCATACAATGTAAATTTGCACTTGTGTAAATTTACATTTGCATCTGCTCCAGACATGGTGCAAATTTGCTCCTGGTGTAAACATGTTCACTTGACAAATATACTCACATGAGTATATTTACACATGTATGCAAATATACACATAGATATGTATCAAGGTGCATGTGAATGGGGTATATATAGTAAAATATTTTGTCTTGTCCAAGCAGGACTAGCTACAACTTCTGAGGACCAGTGGTTGATAATAATCCTTTGGACGAATTTCTAAAGCTGCAGGTGTGCAAGAAGAGCAATGCCGTACTCAGTACTATTACAGCTAAATGATTTATCAAATCTGGACCAAACAATCCAGTGATTGATATTAAGAGCATGTGATCCATGTTATCAGGGTAAGACGACATGCAATCAAACCAAGTCACTCAGACTGAAAAGGCTTTGAAGTATAACAGCACAGTTCTAATTGCGGTACATGTCATCTGCGGTTACCTCCAGCCTAATATTTTCTGTCTAACCAGTAACATGTGTCACAATAAGGATGATGTTGGTCCAAGACTGACCCACCCACAACTCCCGGGACTCACCCACAGTTACTCCCACCCACAACTCCCTGGACTCGCCTACAACTCCCTGGACCCACCCACAACTCCCTGGACCCAACCACAACTACCTGGACCCACCCACAGTTACTCCCACCCACAACTCCCTGGACCTACCCTCAACTCCCTGGACCCAACCACAACTCCCTGGACCCACCCACAGTTACTCCATCCCACAACTCCCTGGATCCACCCTCAACTCCCTGGACCCACCCACAACTCCCTGGACCCACCCACAACTCCCTGGACCCGCCCACAACTCCCTGTGCCCGCCCACAACTCCCTGGACCCGCCCACAACTCCCTGTACCTGCCCACAACTCCCTGTACCCGCCCACAACTCCCTGTACTCGCCCACAACTCCCTGTACTCGCCCACAACTCCCTGGACCCACCCACAACTCCCTGGACCCACCCACAACTCCCTGGACCACCCCACAACTCCCTGGAGCACCCCACAACTCCCTGGACCCACCCACAACTCCCTGTACCCACTCACAACTCCCTGTACTCGCCTACATCTCCCTGTACTCGCCCACAACTCCCTGGACCCATCCACAACTCCCTTTACTCTCCTACAACTCCCTGGACCCACCCACAACTCCCTGGACCCACCCACAACTCCCTGAACCCAATCACAAAGTCCTGGACCCACCCACAACTCCCTGGACCCACCCACAACTCCCTGTACTCGCCTACAACTCCCTGTACTCGCCCACAACTCCCTGGACCCACCCACAACTCCCTGGACCCACCCACAACTCCCTGTACTCGCCCACAACTCCCTGTACTCGCCCACAACTCCCTGGACCCACCCACAACTCCCTGGACCCACCCACAACTCCCTGCACCCTGGACCCACCCACAACTCCTGGGACTCACCCACAGTTACTCCAACCCACAACTCCCTGTACCCACACCCAGAACTCGCCTACAGTTCCCTGGACCCACCCACAACTCCTGGGACTCACCCACAGTTACTCCAACCCACAACTCCCTGTACCCACCCAGAACTCCCTGGACTCGCCTACAGCTCCCTGGACCCACCCACAACTCCTGGGACTCACCCATAGTTACACCCACCAACAACCCCTGGAGTAATGCAGGAAATAGCTACAGCAAGAGGAAAGTGTAGTTGAGATGCATCACTGATGGTGCATTATACTTCACCACAAAGGGCATACTGCACTGTCTTGCAGGACACGACACATACTAACTTCAGAGTAAAAATGTCCCAAGCAGTCAGCTGTTGAAATGAACATTTACTCCATAGATTATGCAATTAAATTCCACCCACTAATTTATGAGGTGGTTGAACCCTAGTATTCCGAGTGATAAATATATATGTGTTTCTGCAGCTTATCAGCAAGTTGTTAGCACAACCATTCCACAGATTGTAGCCCGCTAACTGAAGCGAAGGACCAAGCACCTGCCACCAATGATTCATTCAAGACATTCTTAAATTATCATCTCTGTTCAGATTTACTTTTTGTTTGAACTTGCGATACAAAGACGAATTGTTGCAAACAGGTCAAACCATACAGGTTGATACTGAAGCCGTTTACAAAACTATGAATGCCGGGTCCTTCTCATATATAACACAAATGTCAAACTATACAATTTTAAAGGTCCCTAGATTAAAATACTATGGCAGATAACCCCAAGGACCCCATGACTCCTTTTAACACTGCTGAAGCCTACAAACTGGTATCAATCAGAGTTTTACTTGACTCACAAATGCGCATCCAGTATGCACTAATGTAGAGAACAGACGCAGAGAAAAAATATACTGCATCGGATGATCCCAAAGGACGCACAATAATACAGCACATCAAGAGCAGTTATGGGTGTTTGTTTTTTCATCCATCAATCATAACTACTGTTCACATTACCATTGATTCATTCCAGTCTCTAACGTAATTATCAAAATGTACAGTACACTATGCTATTTCATTCACTTAAAGGACCCCATAATGCCTCGAAGGACCCTTAAAATTAATTATTAGGGGTCCCTCTAGACCCCCACTTTTGTAAGTCAAGATAAAACCCTCCATTATCAACGATTATTTTGTCCATAACATCAAATCCTTCACATATTATAAAGTATGGTGTTCTTGAACTCCCACTGACATTGGATACAACACATTGATAAATTCAATTGCTATTGCTTTCGTGTCTCAACTTTGAGGTCTATAACTGTTATGAACATGTTCAGTAGGAACTAATTTTCTGCGATATGATCTTTTAACCAAGTTCATAAAAGTTATATGTGCACCAGTGCAAATATCACTTTATGAACACCACAGCAATATTGGCATCATTCGAATCTTTTTGTGACGTAAAGTTGGAATGACGTCACACTAGAAACAACGTCATAACATTCGAAAATTGTGGTTTACAAAGATGGCTGTCGAGGTCAGTGCACTTTTCCGAAGTGGAGGTCAAAAGGATGAAGAAGGGTAATAAAGAAATTACACTCCCATGTGTGTCAATGATTTTATGAAACTTGTGCAAGAATTCATATGTTACCCTCACTCTCACTCGGGAAATACATGAGTTCTGACACTCATTTTGTAAAATCAGTATGACACACATGCTCGTATAATGATCTCTGTCTTGACCATGTTGACATTGTCTCAGCTCTACTCTATATGCAAAGTGTATCAGATGCCCTCCCTTAGCTCAGCACGTTCTTAGTTCTTGCACACTTGTTGGATTCAAGATAGACCAATCATGTCCTATTGGTCAAAGATTGCCAGTCCTTGATACTCCAATCCTATGACCCAATTAACATGTCCACTTAAAATATGTATATCAGTGATCCGTGATCACACCACTCTAATCAAGGTGGAACATTACCTATGTTAATTAACCTACTTGACCTATTGCTAAAGAGATTACCACAACGAGCTCAAGTCACACCTGTGGTTTACCAGGTCTGTAACAACAGGTAGTTAATCGCCATTAAGTAGATTGGATTATTGCGCCTGAGGTTAAACAGACATGCAACATGTTAACAACAGAAGCTAATGATCTGGAACTTGAATACACAGACTGGTGTGCTTTGATCTGACCCAAAGGTATGTATCTAGATGACAAGTTCATGCCCCTATGACACAGTATCAGATTTCCTTCACAAGAACATGGAGAATATAAATTCCAGTCATTATTTAAAAACAAAAACATAATAGTTATGTTCACGTTTCTGACATCATAAGCTAAAAGTTATACATCTAGTTTTCTATCAAAAGGAGTAATCTGACATAAGCGACAAGTTGAATTGTGCTAGTCAGATGCATCTCATGACGCCTATCTCGCCAAAGGTATTGATGTACCATTAACACATTATTCAACATAACAGCTGCTTTAATGTCCTGATCAAAACAGATTATGAATGTTTTACATAAATATTTGAGTACTTCCTGTTATTGATAATTGTCTCCTACAAGTTGCATCTAGTGATAGCGAGCGTTCCTGTTGACATGAAATCTCCCCAAGCCCACAGACAGGTGGCTTCAACATTGATAAAGGATGGTCATCACCATGTGTTACCACACGGAATCGGACCTATCCTTTACAACAGGTGACATTAATAAAACCATGAGCTTTCTTCTGCACTACTAATAATTTCCATATTTTTCATGGAAACATTACACTAAACAATCTTTGAGAATGTCCTTACATGCATAAACATGATGAATAGATTCTATCTGCTGTTACCAACATGTTGGTAGTGAAAATGGATAGTGGTAGCATTCATGAAAGAATCTGTAGGCTGCTACAACTGCATGCAGCGTTTGTGAAAGACACTTGTCAGCTTTGACAGTCAGCTCCAAACTCTCTTGTCTGTTACCTGCTGTGCATGCACTCTGTTCTTAGTCTAACCAATGAGCTTTTGGAATATATACTTAGTGGTGTACTGATACAAAGTGTACCTGCACATACATTCCATTCATTCGATGCATAATGCAATCCAAGTATATCACACCAGAAAATGTTTTGACCGAGCTTATAATCTTGCAACTGTTATCATTGCGGGATACAAGTACTAAAATGTAACCATACATTAAAAAAACAACAACATTATGTTTTCTACAGGGAAAAAACACCCTATATAAATCCCTACCACATTTACATGTGCGCCATGTGTTATGGCACAGTATTTGTTTACCTCTCCAAGATAGGTGAACTTGGCTTTTAGGATGAGTCTGTACAGCCTGCTTCGATTCTCATCATCAAAAGGCATGGTTCCACTAAGCAGTATATAGGTTATCACGCCCATTGCCCACATGTCAACCTGAGTTGTGTAGGGCTTTCGGGCCAAAATTTCTGGTGCAATATATTCGGGAGTTCCACAAGTAGTCCTCATGTAGTTTTCTGGACCTTTTCTCATCGCACTGAGTCCGAAATCTGTGATCATTATTTTAGAGTCATGACCAGGATGATAGTAGAGCAAATTTTCTGGTTTTAAGTCACGGTGGCAGATACCCAAACCGTGTAAATATTTCACACCATCAAGAACCATGTTCAAAACGCGAGTTGCGTCTCTCTCTGTAAAACTTCCCTTGGCAATAATCCTATCGAAAAGTTCGCCTCCAGTGGCTAATTCCATCACCATGTACACTTTCTCTGGGGTTTCAAACACCTCCACTAATTGTATTATGTACATGTGTCTCACCCGCCTCAAAACATTCAGTTCAGACTCGAAAACTTCCTTTCCCTGTACTCGGTCTATCATCTTGATAGCATATGGTTGTTTGGTTACCCTATGCTCGACTCGAACAACACGGCTGAAACTTCCGCGACCGATTAGGGCTTTTATGTCGTATTTTGCCGTTACCCTAGGGTCAAACTTGTCTCTGTATTTTTTCACCTTTTTATTCGCCCGAGGGGCCCCGTCCTGGTTAGCCCGGGGGTTAGGCGACTGCTGAAGTTGTAGGGTGTTTTTGACGAGTGGGTGTCCGCTGCGACCGCTCTTCTCCTGCCCATATTGTACCGTTTCCACTAGGTGGGCATTCGGTGGAGTTTCCGGGGCTAATTTAGTACTCACGCACCCCATAGCGTGTCGAAACAAAGGACTTTGTCCAAATTCATCCCCTCGGTGTCATCGGAGGAGAACAGCCACCCGCATTTAGGAGAAAATAACGGAAGAATGTATCCTAATTTCGGCTCCACATGGGATCTTCCATAGTTCGCTCTTCTAAAGAATACGCCGCTGTGCGCCTGTTTACGACGCATGAAGAAAATAGTCCAGCGGAAGCAAATATATGGCGTCCTCCTTCCTGTGCTTGGGATTTGTTTGCAAGTCCTTTTACGCCTTTTAAGCCTTTGTATATACTTATTGTAATACCGCACACAGATTTAATGTAATCTGTATTTTACACAAATACAGCGGAGAAATAATTGGAATAAACAAGTACTTCATTGTGACACGGTCAATGCAGTCACGTGACTACATGACGTCACAAGTTGTTATAACAACTAAATCTACTATCATTTACAACGCACCGTAAAGAATTCAGTGTCAAGTGATAACAAATGAAATAAGATAACCGTTATGTATTAGTAGCTTATCAATAAAACCAGGTTTTCGAGGGTTTTGGAAAGAACTCTCTCCGTTGTAAAAGGGATAGGCAGGCCCATGTAATCCAATCATGAGTCAATCTTCACCTCAGACAGCGCGAGTACAAAACACGTATAACGGTATATAAACAAGTTTCAAAAAGCCTCTTGTTCCTTGCTAAATCAGCTTATTGTAATTTCATCAAAAACGCGTTACACTTCAGATAACCTTTCAAATAGCGTGTTTTTATTCGATGTAATTCAGATGCAAGATCATACAACTTTCTAAATAGAGCATGTGATGATGTGCGGTGTGATTATTCAATTTAAAAAGTAAACATTAATATATCTATACAGCATTGATGTTATTTATAGGTCTATCTTATTATACAAGAAATATTGTTTTGCTTTTTTTACTGTGTGTTAGGAAGATATAAATACACTATGGTTTGCGTTGGTGCAGTCGTACGTGGATTTTCATAAGCTTGTAATGCATTGTATCACATGTTTTAGGCACGTCGTACACTAATAATCCTTATGGCGTTTGCTCGATACTTGAACAGTTTCATTTATATCCATATATCAAAGCTGATTGGTTTCATGATTGCATATCATCAAAACTTTCTGTAGAATTGACAGGTGTGTAGAGTGAATATTATATATCACATGTTTGATGATGTGATACAGAGTAATCCATATAAATAAATTTCATTAAAGTTCAAAATGTCCACACAAATAGACTCGAATGTAGAATATATCGTATAACGCACGCTAGATGTGTAATAAATAAAATATATCATACCGCTTGTCTCATCGAGATGAAACATTATTCATAAATGTTCCAATATGTTATAATTATTTATCTTTGCTGCGTACTAAAAATGAACGTATTGATCATGCTGTAACACACTGAGCAACATAGTGCGTCGTAGTAATATATATTTACCGACATGTTACCATTGTTTATTCCACACTTGTGCTGCAGGTATCAATATTGCTCGCAAGTAAATATATACATTGGAAAAAATATGTTTTCGAAAAGCATATATTTCTTAACTGGATAAAACAACTCTGAAAAGAGGGAAAACATTCCTATATACATGCCGACGTCTTTTCGTGATCATAATTATAAAAGACATTTCGAACATATTTGAGATCGTGACCAATAACCCCAGTGTGAAAAATTTCAATCTCTGACTTAAATTGTTGTTTTTTTGCGAAACTTTGTCCCTATTGACAAGAGGATGAACAAAAGGACTTCGTGGCCGGGGATAATGGTGAGCTCATTTTAAGCCCATGAGGGAAATGATGCAGAGGCTGCCTCTACTACATTTCCGGGTTGTGACTACCCCCTGCAACCAGTGCTGGTCGTGAGAGCGGATCGGGTGGTCAGGCCTGGTGGCATGGATGATTGATGACATGTAAACGTACCCCGATTGCTCATAGTAATATCACTGGCATGTCTTGTCCTAACTCGATAATAAACAGACTAACATCAAATTGCTGGGCTTAGTGAGGAGAAAAACTACGACTACTATTATTATTACTACTACTACGACGCCGACTACTACTAGTACGACGCCGACGACTACTACTACGATGACAACGACGTCTTTTAAACATGATGACAACAATAATGCTGTTTACTTTGTAATTTGATGATATCATTATTGTGAATCCTGCACGTGTATGCCGTGCAAACATTGTAGCTATGAAGTAATGTAAATCAAATTTTCAAACTGATATACATAAAATAGTTAAGGAATTGTATGTGTAAATTCGGATTTGGCGTGTCCTCTTAAAAATGAAAACACAAATTAAGGAACTAACGTAAACCAATAGACTGCCATCTAGTCTCCGAAATATAATACATAAATTATAAGCGTGTTCGTTATAAACATAGTTTACTGTATATATTTTACAGAAAAAAATACTGTTATATTATTTTAATACAATACAATAAAAGAGAGCCCAGACACTCTCTTCATTTTCAGAAACTGCAGTAATCTAGACTTGCCAACTATTATAGACTTGCATGGGCTGTTTTGGATATATATTTGTTTCAAAGTCTGTATGCCAGACTAATGAACCAAGCGAGAATACGCAACCGTGTTGTGGTTAATATCATAAGTTTGTCGTTAGAATACGACACTGGTATGTATGTAAATTATGTACAAACGTGAATAGAACGCATGTTAGAGACGTTTACCATTACAAAGGTACCAGAGTCGCTGTTGGAGCGCCGCGGAGTAATAGGTGCCATGTACCGACTGAATGGTATAACTAGTGGGGTGGTGCAATTCTTCAATAACAGAACATTCGCCAGCGTCTGAATACACTTCGGTCAAACAGCGAAACGTTATTTGTACACACGTGAGTGGTATACTTTTGTGGTGCGTGCAGCAGTGTCACTGGATCTGTAAAGAGTAAGTGAGTATGGCTTTACACTCTGTTAACAATATCACGGAGTTACAAGACCCATGTGGGAAATACACCCTGAGACTTTCGGCTACCCCACCGCTCATATAAGAACTGCAACGATACCCTGCGATACAATGCATATCTCGATGTAATAATGTCGCGACACTTGTCGGAAATTGCTCGAAATTAAACAGTTGAGTGGGTGAGTTGGGTTTAACGCCGCTTTTAACAGTATTCCAGTTATATCGCGGCGTGTCGGCTTAATGAGTGAGGAAAGCCTGAAGTGATGCAGGTTTTGGACGTTTACCACTTTGGTGAAACCCACGAGCACGGGTATGGTGCTGACCAACATAATTGGAGCGAACCGGGATTCGAACCCACGATCATAGGTTTCTAGAGTGCCCAAGGGACGCAACCCTGCACAGTGAAATGCGGTGCCTTAGGCGACTTGGCCCCCGTGCCCCAATGTCCCCCGAAATAAAAAAATATTTGAGCGACAATGAATCTTAGAAACTATCAATAGCTTCTTTAATACCGCGCCCATGTCCAAACACAGCATTTTACATTTCATATGTGTATACCATGAATACATCTTCAGTATATAAGGCCGAATCTCGTTCTTTTATCGCTACGTGACCTTTCGATACTCGTATGGAGGCACACATCACGATGCGCTGGTGCATTATCCCCCATGCCACAGGTATCTTCGGTTATATTCAACGATGTATAGCAAATGTGTATATGGTTCCTCTGCAGAACCGCCTCCGTGGTCTAGTAGTAGAGCGGAAGGTCCGAGGTTCGACCCCCAACCGCGTCATACCAAAAAGACGTTAAAAGATTATACTTGTTGTTACACTGCCCGACGCTCGGTATTAAGGGGTAAAACAAGGACTGGTCGGCTGGGAGTCAGTATACCGTGTCTGAGTGGGGAATTCAGTAGAGGCGTGGGGTAGCCTAATGGTTAAAACGTTCTCTCGTCACGCCGAAGACCTGGGTTCGATTTTCCCACATGGGTACAATGTGTGAAGCCTGTTTCTGGTGTCCCCCACCATGATATTCCTGGAATATTGCTTAAAGCGGTGTAAAATCATACTCACTCATTCAGTTGTGAACTTAGAATGAAGTGGTTGCGAAATGGAAAATAAAATTAATACTCGGCTTCCAACCATTTTTTTGTTGCGAAAAAAATACTATTACTCATTTTAATCATTTAGTCAACACAAAGACAAAGCCAAAGGGTTTACAATGTGTGATTACGTACACACACGTGCACGCTGTGATCGTGCGTTCGTTAGCCCGCAAATAAAATTTATGAAGTCTTAGGTCCTACAGCTGGCTGTCATGCATGCCAGACGCCATTAGAAGGCCACAGCAGGGACTTGCGTTTGTATACACGACATGCCCCACATTGATAACGATCACCGAAGTCCTGATCTTTATAATTAGTGCAATTACGGGCCATTGACCAATTAAGATAACACGATTTTGAACAGATTATTTCGGACGGTAATGATTTATTATTGAATGAAATTGGGGCAGTGGGGCATTATAGGGTGTTATCTAGTATAGGGGAACAGCGGCGCATAGCGAAGTTACAAATGTACACCACAACATCAATATGTATACATTGCCTCTCTGGGTTACATTCTTTGTAATACAGCAACGTCGATGTCGGATATTTAACGGACATTTACTGAGCCCTCTAAAACACAGGCCAGACTGTTGTGTTCGTCTTCTGTGGAGGTGAGGTGAGGTGAAATGGTGTTTAACATCGCGAGCTCATGTGTGTGTGTGTGTGTGTGTGTGTGTGTGTGTGTGTGTGTGTGTTGTGCCAGTCTGGACTAATGTCGATTTAATAGTGCTAGCCCACTGAGATACCATGCCGCAGTTTAACATGACTACCCCACACCGTATACTGACTCAGAGCCGACCAGTCCTTGTTTTGCCCCTTAATACTGGGTGCCAGGCAGGGTAACAACAAGTACCATCATTTAACGTCATTTAAGGTATGACGCGGCTGGGGATCAGACCCCCGATTTTCCGCTCTCCGGACGGACGCTCTACCACTTGACCACGGAGGTGGTCGTTACGTTATACCGAGGTTAGAATGTTAAAAAAGCTAGAGCTTTTGTAGGGTCGGGCCGAGTTTTAGGATAAGTTATTTATGAGAAACGAGATTTTTCTGGTGGGTTCGATTACGTTCGGCGATTCCATAAACATGTCTAGACAACTTAATCAGTGTCGGCCAACCGTGCCCACTTTAATAGGTATAAATACTTAACCATGCATGTATATGCGGTACCCCATGGGTGTACTTACGTACTCACTATGCCAGTATCACTACACATTTTGTAGTGACGTATATACATATTTAATCTTTAATCCCAGTGCTCTGGCACTGGCTGTAGGTCTAACATCATTTGTGCGAATATAACTTTTTTAGAAGTACTGGAGCTCACCTGAGTTTCTGAGCAGATTGGAGTTTCATCAGTTCATACAACAAATACGAATAAGAACAATATATAAAAGAATGTGTCCATATATTGACTGTACCAAATCACTTAACACACATTATTACATGACCATGTATTTGGCTGGACAAAAGGCAACAACGGTGGATATCCTTCCACAAATGCGTGAGTGAGTTAAATTTAACACCACTTTGAACAGTATTTAAGTTATATCACTGATGTCAGCTTGATGTGGGCGTAAAGCCCGAATTGTGCAGATCTTATAGACGTTTACCACTTTGAACAGTATTTAAGTTATATCACTGATGTCAGCTTGATGTGGGCGTAAAGCCCGAATTGTGCAGATCTTATAGACGTTTACCACTTTGAACAGTATTTAAGTTATATGACTGATGTCAGCTTGATGGGGGCGTAAAGCCCGAATTGTGCAGATCTTATAGACGTTTACCACTTTGAACAGTATTTAAGTTATATCACTGATGTCAGCTTGATGTGGGCGTAAAGCCCGAATTGTGCAGATCTTATAGACGTTTACCACTTTGAAGAGTATTTAAGTTATATGACTGATGTCAGCTTGATGGGGGCGTAAAGCCCGAATTGTGCAGATCTTATAGACGTTGACCACTTTGAACAGTATTTAAGTTATATGACTGATGTCAGCTTGATGGGGGCGTAAAGCCCGAATTGTGCAGATCTTATAGACGTTTACCACTTTGAACAGTATTTAAGTTATATCACTGATGTCAGCTTGATGTGGGCGTAAAGCCCGAATTGTGCAGATCTTATAGACGTTTACCACTTTGAAGAGTATTTAATTTATATGACTGATGTCAGCTTGATGTGGGCGTAAAGCCCGAATTGTGCAGATCTTATAGACGTTGACCACTCTGAACAGTATTTAAGTTATATGACTGATGTCAGCTTGATGGGGGCGTAAAGCCCGAATTGTGCAGATCTTATTGACGTTTACCAGTTTGTAAACCCGGATATGGTGCCGACAAACAGAGAATCATGACGAATGCGAATCTTTAATTCAAACCCACGATTCTGACACGACGAAGTGGCGCAATTCTGCACTGGAAAGGCGCTAGAGATGACCTGGTCATCTTTGCCCCAAAGAGCACATTAACGTTGGACGACGATGCAGTTGCTTCCCCTAGATTGTACAGTGTATATAGAAAACAGTATTATTTGAATCAAGTTGGGGACAAGTGATACTTGTACAAATATTTAAAAGTTAACTACGGCCTTGGATATGTACCTTACATGTTTGCGCGGTACATTGAAAGAACATGAATCCGACGTGCATGTGTAACATAAGTAAATTTGGATAAAATAGGAACATACTTAGGTAGACAGAGGTTGCTCGATGTACCCTGTCGCATGTCATTTTATCATTGTTGTTTTCTGCTGGGTGGTGTGTAGCCTTGTGGTTAAAGCGTTCGCTCGTCACGCCGCGTCCCGGTTTAGTTTCGAAAATGGGTACAATGTGTGAAACTCATTTCTGGTTTCCCCCGCCCTATTACTGGAATATTGCTGAAAGCGGTGGAAAACCATACTCACTCTACTGCCGGTGCATGCCGCCATGATTTAGTTGCAATGGCGGCTGACAAAAGACAGCACCCAATCACCTGTACACTCTATGATCATTTGCTTGTCCAGTATGTCCAATAACACCAGCACCGATACCCCACAACATACACGTTTTATTAGAATTGAGTGTGTTGTTAGATCAATCAACTAGTAAATATTTCAGTGGCCCTGACGTGGAACCGATCGTGATAATGTCTCTGCACTCAGCCCTGTAGGAATCACCATGCAAACACTACTTAAATGGAATCTGTGAACCCAGAAACGCAATTAGTAGTCCGTACGTAGTGTAATCACTGATCACATGTTCTGATTGACACACTCAAAACATTACTAAATAAATTTATAACAACAACAAAAAACAAAAAAACCAACCCCAAACAACCTCATCAGACACGAAAGGTGGGGATTCAGACAGTGTGAGGAAATTAAATGTGTGTGTGTGTGTGTGTGTGTGTGTGTGAGAAACTCTCACTTCCAGTCTATGTATGATTTATCGCATGTCTGTGATATACCCGTATGCCAGCCTTCTTAGTCCTGTGAATCTCACATCTATGTATGCATATATACCTTAGACATACCCCGATGTTAGCGTACTTGGCACACGGATATATCGTATTTGTTTCATAAGCCCGTATACCAGTTTCCACCCCATGTGTGGAATAACCCATATGCGTGTATATGTATATCTCTAATACTGTTGGCAGCGACCTTGGCCAAGCGATTATATCGTTCTTTCAATATGTTAAATGACAACGGGGGTTATTGAAGCATGTGTTAATCCATCCTTTATATTGTGAAGCACCACATTCATCACATGCAACCGTACACACATAGTCCACACCATTTACCCCTCAACCGACACGGGACAAGCCCCTTACAATAGATATGAATCATCGCCAAGGCAGATACCCACCACACGCGTTGTATAGTGAAAGGCTTCCTTCACATGTAGGTAAAGCATTGTTGAAACACAATGTTGAAGTGTATACACAAGTATACGATAGGAACAGGGCGAAAACATAGGGGTGTATAAAGGTAGGCCATACCACAATGGAAGCAGGTCCAATTATATACACACACACTCCCTTTTGTCATATACATTTGAGGTATATCATGAACCATTGTATTTGTAATATATTGTTTCTTTGAGTAGTCAGTGCAGAGGGAAACAAGACTGGAGAGGAATGGGATATGAAAGCACGCTAGGGGAAGCCATATAGAATTTACTGTATACTTAATATATTTAAGAGGTCGTATTTGTCACTCATATATATCGGCATTTGGTAATAATAGAATGTGTAAATAATGCACGATTACTTGAGGGACAGACCATTTGATATCCTCGGGTGCAGGCGTGTGTGGTTGTTATAGGGTCGTATAGATATATATTTGTTCCCGAAAATGCTCGAACGAAATAATCATGCTTCAGATTGTCAGTCCCCCAAATACATTCATGCTTTTTTTTTAAATATCAAGGCTCATAGTTTTATTAAACAAATATGTTTTTATGTCTCCATACAGTATCCCACAAGTTTTCTGTATTGTATGTTTACAAGGTACTGACATGTTGTTTATTAAAACCTAAAAAAAACACAATGTATATCCAATAAACCCAAGTTTAGGACAAGCCGAAGAGTTATATTAGATGGCATTGTCAATAAGGATTCGGTCCAGTTTTGAAGTCACGCAGTTTCATTGTCCTAAAACGATATCTCTAGTTTTTTATGTGTTCTATGTGAAGGCAGTTTTTGTTTTGTTTGTTTGTTGTTTACCGCCGCACTCAGCAATATTCCAGCTATATGACGACGTTCTGTAAATAATCGAGTATGCACCAGACGATCCAGTGACTGACATCATGAGCATCGATCCACGCAATTGGGATACGATGACATTCATCCACCAAGTCAGCGAGCCTGACCACCCGATCCCATTAGTCGCCTCTTACGACAAGCAGAAGATGGTGTGATAGAAGACACATATATATACTGGGGACACAAACGACTGCAGAGTCACATAATATATAACGAGAGAGGTCATACATATCCTTTTAGTTATCTATTTTTTTCCACAGAGCATACTTTCCATACAATGGGATTTATTTTCCTAACACAGGTAGAATTTAGATAAAACAAAACTATTACTTTATCTTCAACTGATCATTTCGGAATTATTTAGGTCGACAGGGGGCAAGAAGAAAGGGCTTTAAACACTGCACTCATGTGAGGAATCACAACCTCGATGTGAACTGTGATGTGAACTGTGATATTAACTTAAACTGAACTCTAAGTGGCGAATATGTTAAAACAATGGATTTAAGGGATGGATGAATTAAAATGTTGAATGAAATAAAGTAAAAGAGGGTATCAAGCATCTTGAGTCATTTCTTTTGTCTATAATAAGACAAGTCCATTTTCATGATAGGGGTTAATTACCTGATTAACATGTGCAACCAGGTATGACATTATTGTTTTAAGGTGTCTCACAACTGGGCTGTCTTACTTATGGGAGGAGACCAACCCGGGCATTCGGCATGACAAGACAATGCTTTACTGTTCGGCTGTTCAACCGCCCTCGGATCAGAGTGAGAGTACATGAAAGTTTAGGTCGGTATGGAGAAATATCGGTCAGTCGGTAAGAAACACGAACATATATTAATGAAAGCTACGAAAAGACGGTAGAGCCTTAAATTACATTCCCAGTAGGAATATAAACATGCATTTATATCTAAATGTCTCTTCATTCGTCACAACTCGCCCTGTTCAGTAACCTGTATTCGGCTTGTTCCGGAGTAACACGAGTTGGTCACGAATGAATGTCTCTTATGGCAGAACGTGCTAGTAATAGAGTTATCTCCCTTGACCATGTTGTTCGTCTACTCTATTACGTCATTTGTTATTCATGAATAATTATCCACATGGGAGCCATTGTCGAGCTTCGCTGCTTGCATTTGTAATTTGAAAATAGTTAGTTGTGTTTCCCTTTTACACACTCTTGAAATCAGCCGCTAAACTATACAGCATTTATATGAGATCACAACAAATGAACTGATTTGTGAAAGACAAGTTGATCTTGAATGTGATTGTATCTCATGAAATAATTAAAACGTAATGACTTTTATGGTTATTTGGTTCGTTTCATTCTCATAACATAATGGATTTCAAGTGCAACAACAGATTAAAAAATGTTTTGATGTTCCCAGAGATGTGAAAGTGTTTTTGGGGTGAGTTGGGTTCGCGCGGCATTGAACAGTTCAGTTGTTTCATGGCGTGTCAGTTTACTGTGGGGGGCGAGACGGTTTGTTTGTTTGTTCTTTTACGCCGCACTCAGCAATATTCCAGCTATATGACGACGCTCTGTAAATAATCGAGTCTGGACCAGACAATCCAGTGATTGACATCATGAGCATCGATCCACGCAATTGGGATCGATGACATGCATCAACCGAGTCAGCGAGCCTGACCATCCGATCCCGTTAGTCGCCTTTTGCGGCAAGCATGGGTTGCTGAAGACCTATTCTACCCCGGATCTTCACGGGTCGGGGACGCGCCGGAGGTGGTGAAACACGGGTCCGAGGTGAAATCCGTGAGCACGGGTATGGTGCTGGCAAACCAAGAGTAATAATAAGGGCGAATCTGGGATTTTAACCCACGATTATAGGAGTCGGGCACGCCTATAAAGGGACGCAACTCACGTTAAGATTGGCCTGGTAACCGCTGATAATGGGTAAAAGTACCGGTATTGAACAATGAGTGAGTGAGTATGTCGGAAACTAATTCTTTCTTTTAAAAGAAATCCCGGCACCACTCCAAGAATGTCCAAAGGTCGGCCCTTTTTTTAATAGTGAGTGAGTATGGTTTTACGCCCAGAAATGGGCTTCACACATTGTACCCATGTCGGAAATCGAACCCGTGTCTTTGGCGTGACGACCGAACGGTTTCACCAGTAGGCTACCCGACCGCCCCTGTATCGAACAATGAATATGATTAATAAGTACCGAATATCTTAATTTTCAGTGCAGCGATGTTGTGTAGAGTTGCTTCCCTTAGCTTCCTTGAGTTCAAACCCTGAACTTGTTTGTAAAGATAAGTCGACAATCTATTATGTTTGGTGTCAGAAGCAACCTTTAAAACCAACTCACAATAATAATAATAAAATGCACTGACTATATATTCTTTGAAAAAATAGATACACGTTAACCGTTGGGAGGAGAAACACGCTTCGCCTTATCATGCTGCAGGAGCTTACATCTACAAGATAACAAAGGACATTCTGTTTTCAACAAGGCTCCGTGTCCTGAACCTCACGCAATTCCTCGAGTGCAGAAGAGTCGGGCCTGGTTCTGCACGCAGCACGCAATAAGTCGCCGCGGGGGGTGCCCGCAACGTGCACACGTTTCCTGTGCAGATATTTTCCTTCTTTGCGAGACAAAGCATCGTGCGCCACAGACCGATCCTCATTTCCGGTGCCGAAAGAAACTGTTTGCTTCAAGTTGTAACGCCCGTCTCAACTATGCGTTTTATGTGTGTATTTTTGTGAAACACGTTGATACAATTCACCACAAAGGTTTATTTTTACATTTGTTAATATGATAAAACTATTACGTTATTGCAGCGTTCATTACTCAATTAGTGATAGATGTGGAGGTATCGCCATTGCTCCTTGATATTAACCCCGTTGTAACATAGTAAGTATTTTACACATAGATATAAAATACGTTTGAAAGTGAATCCATCACATTATTTTATGATGTTATCTGCCAATCAAGTCCTTCGACATATTAGTGTGCTCACTAGGACACAACACTATACAACCACAACACTCTCTTTACCTATCAAATCATATATGACGGTGGTGTGTAAATTATCGAGTCTGGACGAGGCAATCCAGTGATTGACATCATGTGCATCGATCTACGCAATTGGGATACGATGACATACATCAAACAACTCAGCGAGTACACAGTCATCTTTTAACCTGAGAATTTAAGAGCTCCTAGTTCATCACTATGAGGAGTTAACCAACATTCGCTTACTTGTTATTTATAAACAATATTTTTATTGATATAATTATGTCAGAACCGATAAACAATGAATGACTGTCTCATCCAAAGAGACACAAAACAACGATTTGTAAATTTACTTTGAGCGGTAGTGACATTTTAGCATATGCAGGAACAACCTTATTCCGAGAAACAGTCGCACAACTGAAGGCACTGACGGCATGTGAAGCTGAAAATGTTGTCACTGTATGAACTATATTGACGAGATGACAAACCACTTTACTTCAACAATACGTTGTCAAAGCGATATTATCGATCCCTCGTAATCGATAATGAAATATGGCCGTATTAAATGTCAACTGCATCGTCTATGGTGGAGCATCAGCTATACATGCATGTTTACTCAGTTGAAGCCGTGCTACGCGTTTCAAAAGTAATCCCTGTCCTGTGCTGGGCGTTTTGTTTCTTCTGGGGCGGTAGAAGCGGAAAATCAATTTCTCCTACTGCATCTTTATGATCATCAGACAAAGCGACCGAACAAAATAGAATCTCCTTCTAACCTTTTGTTACTTAATATGGAGATGGAGTGTGTGTGTGTGTGTGTGTGTGTGTGTGTGTGAGTGTGTTTTACGCCGCTTTTAGCAATATTCCAGCAATATCACGGCGGGGGACACCAGAAATGGGCTTCACACATTGTACCCATGTCGGGAATCGAACCCGGGTCTTCGGCGTGACGAGCGAACGCTTTAACCATTAGGCTACCCGACCGCCCCAATATGGACATGGAAGGAATTGAAGACTATGAAGATAAATTAATAAACTTTGCTGAAAGTATTAAATGTCCAACGAGTCTGCTTTAGGACAAGTACAGTAGGGATTCTGGGTTCGAACTGGTACCCCATAACCGTGGACTGTTCCATGGATCGATGGTCAGATATCGATGACAGTTTTGTCTGGTCCAGATACGACTTTCTACTGTCCGTCGCCTTAAAGCTTGAATATAGGGCAACGTAAAACAACAAACAAACAAGTGACAAGTCAGTCGTGTTTTTGAAACAACTTCCTTGTATGCTGCTGTACGTCTTTTATTCCAAACGTCATGCACCACACTGCTGCATCTGAGAAAAGTTTCCTCGCACACAACCCAAAAACATTACAAAATACTAACACTTGAGTAGATTGTAAACAACCCTTTTTTATGTGTTTGTGCTTTGGGGTTCGTGCTGTATTTATAAAGTACGAGTATATGACATTGTGTATACCATAATTATGTCAAAAGGACTATTTTAAAAAGTTATTCACATAACGTATACATCAATCACACGTTTACAGAGAACTTGTTCCGACACTAGTACAACAATGGCTTGTAATAGACAATACAATTTGGCCAATGTCCGTCCATATCCAGAGGGAATGTCCGCAGTCCAGATGAACGTATGGAAGGTAAGGCAAATAAGTAGAATAAAAATAAGGAAATAAAAAAAGTAAAAAGTTATTCTGCCATGGCAAGGCAAGGTAGTCGGATGTGGCTGGAGTTACGACCCCTAACTGTCAACACTTCTTTGTCAAATAAATCAACGAGTTCTTATACAACAGATTTTCGGGTCAGCAGTGAAAACATTTTTTTTAAATGACAATATTTATTATTGTTTTTTTCCCGGAGGATCCGCCAGGTAAATGAAAAGGCCTGGTATACAACAACAGCCAGATCTATTTCCCATTTTATTGTGTGGTTCTATTGTCCAACGCCAGGATGACATGTAAACGAGACACTGTCAGAGTGGTATTACTTATCTGAAATCACGACGTGGACATCAATAAGTCGACATTTGCTACCACCAGCAGTTACGTCCCCTTGATTATCGTAAACGTACTTGGTTGATTACCAACGAAACTTGAATACTTGAAGTTGAGAGTGATCGACGGTTTTCAGATTTAGATCAATTTGTTTTTATCCCTATTGGCTTGGCATGGGGTCTGTATCGCTTCTATGATCCTGAATACGATAAACCCAGGGCACTGCGAACACTGTTGGTAAGCTTATCATCAAGTTGGAACGCGCGCAGTGAATGTTAACAAGGATTTCATTACTCGAAAGTCTGTCAAACGTCGGATCAACACAATAGTGGATACGAATAACAAGTAAACAGTGAAAGGAAAGACAGTCACATGTATAAGAAGATGATAAGTGCATTACAATATAATATGCTAGTAATTCTGAATTGATCTTGTTTCATTGATATATAAGTAACAAGGACTGCGAAAAACTGTAACTTTTGTAATCACATGTTATGTGTTACGTTTTCTTAACTCTGCTTAAAATCCCGTTTTCGTCATTTCCTATTTGCACGTGTTAATGTTCCTCCCAAGTGTATCACATATCCCATCTCACAACAGCGATACTTATGTCCAAGTTGTGCAATAAGTGAGGTGTAGCACCTTTTCGCAATATAGAGTCCATACGCGCGATGCCTGCATGCGATCAGTAAACAAATACATGTAAACACACCTGTGCGCATGCTGTAGTGTAAAGGCTACAATGAATATCATCATGCAGTGTTGTTATACTATTGGGTTTCTCAAGCAACACAAAACTAATTGGACAATTATAATTTATTATGCGTATTTTATCTAGAGCTCTATATGGGGAAGCCTAGAAGTTTAGGCATCTAAGTCGAAGAAACTGCATGGTTCGATCGCGCACGTGATTACAATGAGTAGAATATTTAATCTTGGACCCACTGCATGTATTGTATGATGAATTAGTAAATGTTGTTTGAAGTTTGAGTCGTCAGCAATTTTCAACCTATAACATGGCGGCCCCAAAGCGATCCCAGCGGAAAGATTATCGTATATCGTAACTCTTATTCTGTAACACCCAAGACAGTCGTATCACTAAGATCGCTTTGTGAAACAGGTTACGGGAACTCCCACGGGGGTGAATCGACACATGCATAGTTTAGTCACAACTCGTGACAAGGGAGTTTACAACTGTCCAACACAGACATATGCGCTTATGCAAGGACTGCGCGCAAATATAGATGTCTGTCACATCCTAACTGTCTTGACCTTAGTCCGACTCACTGTACCTGAACCATTTTCCCTTCCGCTCATCCCTTTCAATATTGCAAAGAGCCCTAAAAGAAGCAAATCTCGATTTTCCTCAAGTTCATGTTCAAAATTTCCATCTCACTAGATCTCCTTTTCAGTTTAAATGGAGTTATCTGTCCCTTTCAAACTTATATATTTTCAGAGACTAAGCGTTGGGTCTATTTTGACTGTGATGGTTTCATGAGCAGCACCGTTATGCATGTGTGAGCGAGGGCGGGGTTTCAGGTAAACTAGAATGTGGTAACACAAGAAGGGGTCCATGCAAATCACAAATCTGGTAACCCCAGAGGGGTTCCAGGCAAATTCAAATGTGGGAACACCAGAAGGGTTTCAGACAAACTCAAATCTGGGAACATCTGAACGGATTTCAGACAAATTCAAATCTGGGACATTAAGAAGGGTTTCAGACATATCACAAATGTGGGAACACCAAAAGGGGTTTCAGGCAAACCCAAATGTGGGAACCAAGATGGGTTTCAGGCAAACCCAAATGTGGGAACATCTGAATGGGTTTCAGGCAAACCCAAATGTGGGAACCAAGAAGGGTTTCAGACAAACTCAAATCTGGGAACATCTGAACGGATTTCAGACAAATTCAAATCTGGGACATTAAGAAGGGTTTCAGACATATCACAAATGTGGGAACACCAAAAGGGGTTTCAGGCAAACCCAAATGTGGGAACCAAGATGGGTTTCAGGCAAACCCAAATGTGGGAACATCTGAATGGGTTTCAGGCAAACCCAAATGTGGGAACCAAGAAGGGTTTCAGACAAACTCAAATGTGGGAACATCTGAATGGGTTTCAGGCAAATTCAAACATGGGAACACCTGTAGGGGTTTCAGACAAATCACACATGGGAAGCTTATTCCAAGCTTTTGTACAACCAGACTTGGTTGCTGCCTTGTTTTAACACACGAACACGTTTCACTGTCTCTGAGAGAGATCCAGTTTCGGACATAGTTGGTCTAAATTGGCTATCTATTCCAGTTTCCGACGTGGTTGGTCTAAGCTGTCTATCTAATGTCTAAATACAATTCTAATACAGCCTTTGGTTCAAATGGAAATGTAAGAGAAAACCATGCTCTGCTACCACTGTTGCACACTTTGATAGCTTTTCGCACTGTTCCAGTGGTACTACAAAATGGGACCAGGAGCATTACAGTAAACGCTTTGTTGGATGATGTAAGGTGTCTTTGCAGTGATAACTGCTTACCCAAATGGTGACAAATTGAGCAGGAAAGAAGCTGCAAAATGCAGAGTGGTGCCACAGAAAGCTGTCAGTATACCCAGTTTAGACATAACGGCAGCGATTCTAGGGCTACGATTGGCACTGAATACCACGGAAGCACTAGATGTTAACTTGAAAAGGTGGTCTTCAGGTCAGACAACATGAACATGTTATGCTGGATTAGAAATAACAGCCGAATTTTCAAACGTTTCATTGCCAACAGGGAAGGTGAAATCCAGGATGTTACAGTCCTTCACAGTGGAGACACACTCCTACAGAAGCAAATGTCCCTGGCTTGATTAGTCCAGGTGCAACAGCTCAAGAGTTGGTAGCTAGTTCATGGTGGTGGTCAGGCCCCTCTTGTTTAGTAGGAGATGGCCAGAAACTATGTTGAAATCTACCAAGGTAGATGATCAGATAGAGATGAACGGAAATAGAATTCAATCTGCAAGCTTTCTTTCTGTGCCTTTTAGTCATGGCGTGAAGCACGAGTGTAAGCATGGATTCACAGGCTCCTTCACAATTGTGTAGCATCAAAGATGATAAAGTTGAAGGAGAATTATCACCAGATGAGATAAGTGACGCTGAACACAGAATCATCCTGAATGTGCAGGGGGAATCTTATCCAGAATATATCTCATTTACGTCCAGAAAGCCATTACCATCAGGGGTGAAAATCCTGAACCTTCCTCCTCAGCTGGATGACAATGGGCTCATGAGGTTAAAGGGATGTTTTCCAATGTACTGAATACTTACCTCTAGATACGAAATTCCCAGTCATTTTGCCCTAAAACAGCTGGGTGACAACGCTTATTATCAAGCATTATCATGGAGAAACTAAGCATGTCACAGGAACAAATAAAAAATTAGCTTCACTTTCAACAAGGTACTGGATTACCACTGGTAGAGAAGCGATTCAGTCTTGGGAAATGAGATGTTAAATGTGCCTGTTTCCTGGATGCAAACACAGCAGATGCCTCACTAAGGACATTCGACGGACAATTTCTGGACATTTGTGAGAGCACTGGCCCATGTAATAGAGCTTATTATCTATTGCTGCTGCCATATTGTATTGTCTTTTGTAATTGTGAATGTAATCCTGTGTGTTTCAATATAATTTGTTGATTTTTCATTGATCTTGTGTGGTTATGTACTGATTTTACAATTTAGTTCTTTAAGTGCCGATTTCTGGATTATTTGTTCCCGCTTCAACAGGAAACAGAAAACCGACTTTATTTTTACACTTAATTTAGTTTTAAGTTGAAATGATAATTTTATCTGTCCAAAACTGGAATATGAACCTATGACAAGAAGATCCTTGCAGATAACGGTGCCATGGAATACTGGGCCCACTGGGCCTCTCATAGTGAACTGAAGAAGGTGTTACACAACAAGCAGAGAAACATAAAAGTGTCGAAAACGTTTCATGCTTTATTAAGAACAGCATAAACAGAAAATAACAACAGATTTGTTGTGTGTTTTTTCATAATTATACCAAGTCAAACATTGCTCAATCTTTGAAAGGTATTAATAATGATAATATTAACAACAGACAGGGATGCAGATGGTGGCATTGATAGGGTAGCATGGTCATCAGGATCCACAGCATCTTCCATCCCACAATGCAAGACGACCACATGTTGACAAGGCTTACATTTTGTCAATCTCATTAAAATCAGATCTTAGTTCCCGCAATCGCTAAACAAAGATCTGAGACAATCCCATTACGGGTCACGTCAGAACGGCCTTTCATCCGACCAAGCAAAGCCTGAAATGGAAGTGGCCAGGTTGAAAAGAGTGCCGAGTAGCTCGAGAAAGCTGCTTCCTAATTGGCTGATGTCGCGATAGAGAGAACCTAGATCTGATTTTAATGAGATTGACATTTTGTTTATTTCCTTTTAATGCTGCACTCAGCAATACTCCAGCCATATAACAGCTGCCTGTAAAAAACAATGCCTCAACTACACAATCCACAGATTGATATTATGAGCAGCAAGTTTCGACATCCGATTTCGATTACTCGCATCAACCAAGTCACAAACCCTGATCAACCTCCCTTCAAAAAGCATTGGTTGTTAGGACCTATATTCTAACAAGACAAAGTCTTTACATTGTTGATTGGTATTGAAGCACATCCAGTGTTTATATTTAACAGGCATTTCCCTGTAATTCAAAAAGCCAACATGTGCTTGAATTCTCAGTTTAATAAAATCTATTTGGGATCTTTAAGAATGTTCTTTTCAAAATATGTTGCAAAATGAAACGTTAGTGTTGTTGAGTGACCCTCAAATACTCCGACTTCTTCCCTCTCCTGAACAAATCTACTGTCTTGTGTGTGATCATAGCTTATAAGGTTGTGATGACCGTCCTTTTCTTTTTAACTTGGCTCTGCTCTAAAAACAAAACAAAATACAAACAATTATATGTATACACTGGTAGGAATCCCTTGATGTAATTTCAATCCAGGAAAATAACTAATGTAAAAAGACAGTCCAACATTTTACTTGAAAATTAGATCATGCACTAGAGTTATCAAGCTCCTTCCCAGCGCGTGACACCTTCGTTACACTCCCGGGAACATCGCTGCCACCAGTGTGGGCGCGGCCATTACAAGAATCTTGAAATTTGCCCTCTAATCCCAAATGCAGTAACGTTGATACTTTTGTTTATGTCTTTGGGGATGCCATCATATTTCATTTTGAAAAGGTTTACGACTGACCATGTTTTCCAAATGAATTTACTTTGTTGTTTTAATAATCAGATTGGTTCGAGATTGCAGACTAACGGAAAATCAACCAACTTCTCCCTTACATTCTTACTATATCAACAACAAGAATGTTTTAATGAAACAGAAATTCAAATTGACAAACGAAGAAATAAATTTAGCAGCGATAAGTGTATTTGGCGTCACGACAGTCGTCATTTGTTTGTAAACATAACGGTCATTCGGTTGCGAGTTCAACTCCAAGCATGGTTGTGGCCACCTATTCACAGTGGGGAGTTTTGACTGGTGGCAGCGATAGTATAGAGAGCTCCGGGAACGTACTATCGCTGTGAGGAGCTTGTAGAGTTATAGACTAAGGGAGGTAACTCTAAAACGTGATTAAAATGATTGTATGGTTTGTATGCTTGCCTGGTGGTAACATTTGTCTTTTTTTTGTTCAGGTAGCAATATTAGGCTCTATCACGATGGCCTGTAAATAATAAAAGCAGGACCAGACAAACCAGTGATTGATATTATGAGCAACATCCTACACTGTTGGAGTACAATGATGTGCAGTCCACCAAGACATCTAGTGGTGCTAACAATAATATATCAACTTCAGTAGGATTCTATTTTTCAGTATGTTTTTATTCTTCAGAAACTAGTTTGGAACTGAAACAGCCGAGCACTTACCTTTGATGTGACTTTTGCTGAAGGTTTGGTTTGGGTTGACCACAGACACAGCAGGGAGTCTTCCCCTCCTGTCACTAGGCTTGTAGTCTGGGGAGAAGTAACACTTTCATGAAGCCACACTCATGGGGGGGTTGGGGGTAGGGTGTGTGTCAGGTCAAAGTGTCGGTCAAATCCAAAACACCGTCAGGTGCACAAATCCATCAGGTCCAAGTGTCGGTCAAATCCAAAACACCGTCAGGTGCACAACTCCATCAGGTCAAAGTGTCGGTCAAATCCAAAACACCGTCAGGTGCACAACTCCATCAGGTCAAAGTGTCGGTCAAATCCAAAACACCGTCAGGTCCAAGTGTCAGTAAAGCCCAAAGGTCAATACTATCAAAGGGAAAGTCAAGTCCAAAGGTGAGTCATGTCCAATTGTCATTGACAGCAATGGAGCTAGCCAACATAAAGTGTAAATCAGAGGCAAAGACTGTAGCTAACCTGAGCATCCCAGTCACAGCAGCGTACCCGGTCCGTGTGTCCGCTGCTGCCGAGAGTGTGAACCACCTTCACATCATCCTCTACCACCTCCAGAATCCTCACATCACCTCTGAATCATCATACAAGATCAGCTATACAAAAACGATTGCTTTGAACTAGATTAGGAGCTTCAGACAAGCTGCTAATATGAAAGGTGTTCTGATTACATTTCAATTCTCAGGACTTTTAAGTCCTGTTGTCCTCATTTGAACTGCTTGAAATATCTGGGGCTGGCTTTGTCACCAATAATGGCAAGGCTGTTAAAACAAATGAAAGATACCCACACAAGACAACCAATATGGCCACCTTAGTATATGTAAGTGAGTGAGTGAGTGAGAGAGGTTTTACCCTATTTCTAACAACAGTTCCGCAATATCAAAGCGGGCGGTACCAGAAATAGGCTTCACGTATTGTACCCATGTGGGTAATCAAACCCTAGTCTTTGGCGTGAAAAGTGAACGCTTTGACCACTGGGCTACCCCACCGCTCCTCTTAGGAAATGTAACAACACTATCTAAACAGGAGATAAACATTGGTCACAAACAAGTGACAGGGACCACTTTTAGAGACAGGAACTCACCCGTATGTCCCTGCAACTAGTTAGAGACAGGAACTCACCCATATGTCCCTGCAACTAGTTAGAGACAGGAACTCACCCGTATGTCACTACAACTAGTTAGAGACAGGAACTCACCCATATGTCACTACAACTAGTTAGAGACAGGAACTCACCCATATGTCACTACAACTAGTTAGAGACAGGAACTCACCCGTATGTCACTACAACTAGTTAGAGACAGGAACTCACCCATATGTCCCTGCAACTAGTTCAAGACAGAACCCACTCGTATGTCCCTGCAACTAGTTAGAGACAGGAACTCACCCGTATGTCACTACAACTAGTTAGAGACAGGAACTCACCCGTATGTCACTACAACTAGTTAGAGACAGGAACTCACCCGTATGTCACTACAACTAGTTAGAGACAGGAACTCACCCATATGTCACTACAACTAGTTAGAGACAGGAACTCACCCGTATGTCACTACAACTAGTTAGAGACAGGAACTCACCCATATGTCACTACAACTAGTTAGAGACAGGAACTCACCTGTATGTCCCTGCAACTAGTTAGAGACAGGAACTCACCCATATGTCCCAACAACTACAGTCCGTTTGACTCCAAATGACAACGATGAATTGCAAAATAACTCAAAATCCAGAAAAGTGTATGAAACATCAATACGGTACTTGACCCTGAATACCCTGTACCCAACAAAATCTGAATTTTGTTTATTTTAAGACCCATGACGAATGAAGTTCTTTAAGAAACTATCATGTAATTTTGTATAGAAATGTGTACATGACACGTAGGGGGGACAAACCGTGGAAGGCACAGCGCAAGCACGCATGCACTGCACGGTCTGTGGTAGGGGGAATGACAGAGCGTTAGAGGGGCCGTCTCATGATAATTTTAGTCGCAATCTCACTTGCTCATGCCATAGATCTTGTCGTCGGAACTGCTGGTGCCTGAACCGACTGCCACTATTATAGGTTGGATTGTTGCTGGCCGTAGTCCATCTCGTGACCAATAACGTGGCTCTATCTCGTCACCGACTGTGGCCACACAACGCCTCCATGTTTCTACTGTTACCCGACCAAGGGATTCCTTTACGAGTTGTTCAGCGTCTCGTAATTTGAACGTTGTGTTCGATCGTCCAACGTCACCCTTGACGATGCCCCATACCAACTCAATTGGATTCAGGTCGCAGTGATAAGGTGGCAGTCGTAAGACAGCGTGACCCTGACCCTTGATGTAACTGTCAACTTTATACACGGGGTCAGGTTTCATAGTTTTGATGATTTCATAGAGCTGTGGTTTCGTCGCTCGAGAAGGAAAGGTTATGTTCCTCCGTTGCAGCCAAGTAACCATGTCTCCTTTACAGTTATTAGAGGTTGGAGTCTTGCTTTCTGGATCCTGCACACTTTGATACGGTGCATTGTCCATGACAATGAGAGACTTGATAGGCAAAGCAGGGACTAATTTATCTTTCACCCACTCCAGAAATACATTGCCGTTCATTTCTGTGTGGTAGTCCCTGTTGTCTTTGGCCTTGGCTCTAAAGACGAGGTCACAGTCTGGGAGAAAACCCTGACTAGCAGAACCAGCATGGAGAACTATGAGTCTTTCACCCTTTCCCATTTGTAACTTTCTACCAGACTCCTTACAGTCACCACTGGGTACCCACTGACTGTGTGACGCATTTACCCATGTCTCATCTAAGAAGACGGGCTCATATCCTTCTTCACGTTTCTGCTTGATGGTACTAAGGTAATGATTTCGGAGACGAACAATGTCAGACCATTCACACAACACAGCCCTATTTTCTCCAGTTACCGTTTTTTATTTGTAACCAAATGTATGCAACAGCTGCCATAGTTTGTACTTTGTAACACGTAAATCATGGTCAGTTTCAAGGTGTTGCTTCAAAATTCTTAGGGACAGGTACTTATTTTCTGAGTGCGGTTTAACAATTGCACGTCTGACTTGATCCCTCTGAAAACTGTCTAATTTATCAACCTTGCGTGGTTTTGACATGTTCCCTACCTCCTTGGCCTGACTATTTGTATCTCGTCGACTAACAACATTTTTAAGTTTCTGAGGGGACATACCAAGAGCTTTTGAAGCTTGTTTCAAGAATTTATTAATTGCATAAAAAGGCTTTGCTCTTTCTGCTTCACTTCTAAAGAAATCATACACATTCAACATCAACTGTTTAACATCTGCTGAGTAGCGCATCTTGTCATTGAATGAACACGGTCACTGTGTAGCACGTGCAGACCATGCTTGCGCTGTACCTTCCACGGTTTGTCCCCCCTACGTGTCATGTACACATTTCTATACAAAATTACATGATAGTTTCTTAAAGAACTTCATCCGTAATGGCTCTTAAATTAAACAAAATTCAGATTTTGTTGGGTACAGGGTATTCATGGTCAAGTACCAAATTTTGAGTTATTTTGCAATTCATCGTTCTCATTTGGAGTCAAACGGACTGTAGTTAGAGACAGGAACTCACCCGTATGTCCCTGCAACTAGTTAGAGACAGGAACTCACCCGTATGTCCCTGCAACTAGTTAGAGACAGGAACTCACCCGTATGTCCCTGCAACTAGTTAGAGACAGGAACTCACCCGTATGTCCCTGCAACTAGTTAGAGACAGGAACTCACCCGTATGTCCCTGCAACTAGTTAGAGACAGGAACTCACCCGTATGTCCCTGCAACTAGTTAGAGACAGGAACTCACTCGTATGTCCCTGCAACTAGTTAGAGACAGGAACTCACCCATATGTCCCTACAACTAGTTAGAGACAGGAACTCACCCATATGTCCCTGCAACTAGAATGTCCATGTTGTCACACTCTGGCTGAAGCAGGTCCACGATGTAGTCAACAGAGGCAGCCCCCTGGAACCACAACACTGATACGTCCACACCAGTCACATCACCCTGACATTCTCAACACTGATGGATTGCTGGACAGAGTTCATATTTACATTTGGGGGGGATAGAAATGTAATTTGTTTCAAGTGTGTCCCAGGACATTTATAAAGATGTTTACCTGAGCCTTTTTTTTTAATTTGGTGTAAGTATAAACTAACAAGGTGTAAGTATACCCTAGCGAGGTACAGACTCATTTGGTAAAACTCACGAGCACAGGTCGGCTGCTGACAAACCAAGGATGATAGCCAGGGTGAAATCACTTATTGGAAGCCCTGATCATTACATTCTTCACAACTGAGGGGCAGACCAGCACACTGCAGGAACTTAGAATGACTGGGCCAATCACAACCTCTTTCTTCAGAAGACAGCTTCTCTACAGGTGTTAATTATCTTATGGAAATAAAGAGAACATTTGTGTGTCCATCATACAGACTTTACGAAACTTGTGCCAGAATTCATGTGTCAGAAATACACCAATGTTCTGACACTTGTTTCTTAAGTTGGTTGTATACACACTTCTGCAATGTCCAAACTAAGACCATATGAGTAATCATCAGGTTTTAACATTTGTCTTGGAGGAAATTGCTGGGTATAAACAAATACCAGATCAGTTTTCTCACCTGTAGTTTATCTTTTACATCGTTAACTCTCGCTTGTTCATCACCCTAAAAATAAAACATGGCAGATTCAACAGAGTTTTAAAATAATGCTACGGCTCTGTAGTTCACCCAGATATCAACATCAAAACATAAAAAGGGATGTCCACTCTCTCAAGTTACTGGTGGCACTGACGTTTTTATATTTTCTACAGACGTCTCCCCTCAATCACCTCGACTGTGTCCCACACATGAAACGTGTCTATAGATGTCAAACAGTAGATTTCTGTTCGTCTGCTCCCGTACCAGCCAATCGAGTTCTGCAAAACAAAGCATGTAATTAGCACCTTGTATTAAACCTTTGCATTTACATCAATCTTCTTACCTTGATCTATCTTTTTTATGCTAAACGTTTCATACACTGGACAGATGGTACATGGTTGTGTTGAGTTTCTGTTAATGTCTAAATACAAAATAATCCTCTCTGTAATGTTAACTTAAACCCAATGGAGATTCCCAGACGCTTACCACTTTGGTGAAACCCACGATCATGGGTATGGTGCTGACAAACCCAGAAAAATTAAAAGAAAGGTGAGGTGAAACAAGGTTTCACGTTGTGTCCAAGATTTTGCACTTACATAATGACATGCATGCATGTGTCTGTGTGTTGCTGCTTGTTCGAGTCCGGACTCATGCTGATTTAGAGGTAGCCAACTGAGATACCACGTCACAGTTTAACATGAATACCCCACTCAGACACAGTATACTAACTCCAGTCCTTAATTTAGCCCCTTAAAGCCGAGCATCATACAGGGTAACAACAAGTACCATCCTTTAACGTCTCCTGGTATGACACAGCTTGGGATCGAACCCTGGACCTTCTACTCTCCAGACAGATTCTGGTCACTAGACCACAGAGGCGGTCAACTTAAACAAAATAAAATAAAAAAGAGGTCCTTTAACTTAACATGTTCAATGTTCAGTCAAAGATCAAGTCTTCAAACACCAATGTGAGCTGTGCGTATGAGTGACTAAGATAGTTGGGTTTTACACTCTGTTAGCAATATTCCCAGTGTCCATATGCCCAGTGTATGAATGAATATGAAGGGTATTATTTCAAATGTCACATACCACAGAACACTCAGCATTGAAGGTATAGAGCAGGGCATCATCCTCGCTGGTCTGGGAGATGTCAAACACACAAACGAGGCCACCTACACACGCTGTTGACAGGCGGTCTTTGTCACTGGGGTTGAATCTCACCTGAGATAGTCGAAACAAATTTTCAAATGTAAGTTGTAACTAAAGTAACAAAATTTCTTAGCTTTCAACTTTTCCTTGCTATAAACTAAAACTGATACAGAAATGACCAACTTGAAATATCAACTGTTACTCTCACCTGAGTTATGTCCCCTTGATGAGATTCGCCATAGCATCCCAAGCATTCAGCTTTCCGCCGGTCCCTGCAGTAAACAGCAGTGATATTCAGGAATAGTTCCAGCTCAGAATACAGCAAACAATGTATCCAATCTCATATTCATGTCAGATACACAATCAATATGTTACAAAATGTGAAAACATGAGTTCTGGTAAAAAACACTGAACAAAGTCGTGCAGTACGGCGTCAGTATAGCTTGGTGCACTGAACTGTTCCTTCTACTAACATGTAAGTAATTGGCAGATTTAAAAAAAACACTTAAAAAGATCTGTACAAAATGAAATACTTCAACATTAAATCCAAAAAGAGAGCGAGAGGTATGGAATGAGAGTAGGTGATCAGATTTGTCTGAGATTGTTCACAACTGACGTTGGACATGTAGTAGGGCATTGAGTCACCCCATAGACAGGGTCCCCATATTGTCAGCTTGCACTCGGATCTAAAGGACCATAGTTGGACTCCTGTCACAGGCGTCAGACATTTTATGGCCACTACAGACACTTTTGCATTGGCCACTCTTCTTGTATCAACTTGCTGAGGCCATGAGACTGTCACATCTTCAAGGGGCAAGGTTGGAACCTGGACTTTTACAGTCGGCTAACTCCCATGCCTCAGGAAGATGGAGAGAGTGACTGAGTGAGCTTCATTTGAACAGTATCTCAGTTATCAGAACATGTCAGCTGGATGTGGGAGAAAAATGAGCACAGGTGTGGTGCTGGCAAAACAAGGTGCAACAAGGGAAGTAAATCTGTAAAGTGAATGGGGTGCTCTGGGCCATGCATTTCCTTGAGAGCGGATGGTTTAAGAGGCAGCAGACTTGAATAGTTGAGTGATGTAATATTTAGAATTTTTGAAGTTTTTGATTTCTCACCAAAATAAAATGTTGGCACTGTCATCGTCCTCCTCTGTCCCTGCACACAACAGCTTGTCTGTGCAGTCGATGTCCAGACAGGTCAGCTGAGGGCTCACTGTGGCAGGTGCTGCAGGGGAGAAAACTGTGCTGACACAATGCCTTGAGTGTGTGAGTTGGGGTCAACACTGCTTGCAACAGTATTTCAGTTTTAATTTATATCATGGCTTAATCATAAGTTAATGTGGGAGGAACCAGTCAATACTTCGATGTTTTACAGCTTTGTAAAATTCCATGAGAACCACAAGTGTTGAGAGTTGGTGAGTGGCCTCAAATGCCAGGCTAGCAAACGCCGGTAGTGACCAGGTCATATACGTGAGGTGACGTAAAACCTTCTAGTGCCTGCAAGCAGCATGGGTTGTATACTCCCCAGGGAGTTGAGAATGATAACTGGAATGCATACGGATCCACTCATCGGGGAACAAATACAAAACTGTCTGGATAATAGCGGTATATAAATGTATAGTATAGCAATAATAATTAGCGCTGTGGTGCTGACAAATCAAGGATTATAACCTTGTACAATGAGAATGGAGATCAGCAAATCCTGACATGGCTGAAACAAACTGTGATGCTTCAGACCACCTGGCTGCCCATGACATCTCCTTAATCACACGTCACATAATATATGCTTCTCACCACACAAAGACTCTCCTGAGCTATTAACAGTAGAGGACGTAACATGTAAGCGAGACGGGTCCCGACTATGCGTACAAGTGACTCCCTGAGAGCATTCATATGAGTGACTGTCTGTCTGCGGATAACAGATTTGTCCCTGTAGCGTTGTGTTATTTATTTAAATAACAAAGAAAAATTAAGTATAGTTATAGATAGTTATACCAGTTATCGAAATCTTAGGATAACAGCTTAACAGTCTTTACCAGCTACTTTTTCCTATCTGCGTATTTTTCAGAAACAATTTTAGTATCTTCTTAAAGCTTATTCATAGTAGAATTACGACATATAGTTTCAGGCACACAAACTGACAAATTTGCTATCGTGTTGAAACATGTTTACTTTCTTCAAATCTGAGTGTGGCTGTCTTGTCTACAAGTGACTGGCAGATAATCCGCCAAGGGGAGGTAACCAATGCATAAGAAAATCATACAATCGGAACATCCGTCACGTTACACTAAAAGTCTGTCTAAAGGGTGCGTATATAACACAATATTTAGCGTGTAAGAGAGGAAATAGGAAATATACTTTAATCCCATATTTGGATAACAATTTACAATAGGGTCTATATCATTAAATGGAAGCAAATTTTTGGAAAACACTGCAAATACTGATCAAGATATAAGATCAGACTCAAATTGGAATGGAATGTTTTCTTTGTAGAGATGGATACTTGATGAAACTAAACTTTGCAAGCACTCGTGTTGTTTAAGACTTGATCTTTGTGGACAGTACAGGAGAATCAAGATAACAAATGTCCTTTCATGCCTATTTGAGGATTCGTTTCATGGTCGAAATATCAGATAATATCAGACTGAGAAAAGATCGCACCTAAAACAGTTATCCTGCATTTACCTGAAAATGCCTGCACTTCCTTATTCATCCCCACACGGAGATCCCAGCATCTGGAAAATAAACGATATGTTTTTACACATTGTTCATTTCTTGGCCACCCTCGGTTATTGTGTGAAATATTTGTGTGTGTAGGTGGGAAATACAATAAAAAACTGACTTTTCAGAATATTTGTTTATGTTCTTCAAAATGTTTTCTAAATATGTTGCCATGAATTTCAACATGTAGTTAAACAGAGGAAAAGAATTTTGAAACAATCAAGACATACAACATGCACAAGCACTTGATTCTCACATTTCTCAAGTTAATATCTTTTGAAAAATAAGTGGTGGGGTGCTTTGCTCTTTCTGATTTATCATTATTATTATTAAACATATTTTATTGTCCAAAAAGACAAAGGGATTGGGCTCAAGTGCAGCACTTATTACAACCTTCTCCCTTCTCTTCTGATTTATGGTGTATGTTAAAAAGTTTGTACCAATTAAGTTGTCACAATCAGTTTCATTTTAGACTTACATGAACCAGAAATAAAGCGATTTCATAGACATAAAGACATTACTTCTGATTAATCAAGGCCTGAGAATAATAAACATTTGTTTTCACGTGAATATTTACAAAGGTGACAAAATGCTGTAGATTACTTCACAGGACCAACCTGAGAGTCTCATCGTGGGAGGAGGAGAATAGCAGACTGGGCTCTGTCTTCCCAAATGTGACACCAGACACCACATCAGTGTGACCTGAACACAAGGGAGACAACTTGTATTGACTACAGCTTGAACAAGAACTCAACACTTTTACTTCCTGTGGCTCAGGTAACATGGGCATCAAAATAAGGTTAATTAGGCAGTCAGAAATATTTTACTGGAAAATATATTATTCAGTTCTTGGCCATCTGCAAGTACAACAGTGTATGAGGGCATCAGATGTCAAGTTATGCATGCTGTATGTGTGGATGTTAGTGTTACTTATGTCATAACATGCAAAAGCTATACTTTGTACATCTTTACATTATAAATAATATTTCCTGGGTTACTGCTTATTTGTTCAATACAGCCTTGAGCCAAAACTTTAAGTCAAATTCTGACAAAACTTTAAAGCAGTGCAGTTTTACCATGGGGAGTTACAGGGTTGCAAATGATATGGTTCTCATTACCTGATTAAGCTTAAGTTGAGGTGCTGACCATGACATTTCTTCAATGTGGTAACACTGTTCATGATAAGACAATGTGCACACATTAACACACACCAAACTTGCCAAACACTACTGACTTTACATTGGACCCGTGAAGATTCTGGGGTAGAATAGGTCTTCAGCAACCAATGCTTGCCGTAAAAGGCGACTATGCTTGTCGTAAAAGGCGACTAACGGGATCAGGTGGTCAGGCTCGCTGACTTGGTTGATGCACGTCATCAATCCCAATTGCGTGGATTGATGCTCATGATGTCAATCACTGGATTGTCTGGTCCAGACTCGATTATTTACAGACCGCCGTGATATAGCTGGAATATTACTGAGTGCGGTGTTAAACGACAAACCAACCAACCAACATTGGTTTTCTTACATATTCATTATATTTTGAAGCTAAGTGAAATGGCACCACAACAATATTTTGCTCCGATCTCATTACCATGCTTACCTTTAATGCTTCCAACATTTGCTAGATCTACTCGGCTGTATATCCTGATGTTGTAGTTACTACTAGTTGCTGCTAGACGACCATCACTTCCACTGAAAATACATCAATCAATAAGGGATGAAATGATACATCAGTGTCCCGAAGTATCATGCATTTTCATGTGACGATATGATACACAATGTTTTTTTCCGTATCGATACAAGACGATGCACTTTCTAACATAACTTACTTGTTTTAACTACTCGTTTAATGACCCCCATCACAGCATTTTTGTTCGTCAAATATTGCAAAATGTGTTGTAATCAGCTGTGATAATTAGCTTTTCAAGTTCACTTCTTAAAAGAGCTGCTATGAACATGTGTTCACAGCCAGCTTTTCCTTTGGCACCTGTTTTGAAATATTCATAGTCAAGAAGTTTCCATGAGATTTGACGTAAATATGCATATCGCGTGGTATGTATCATGACATGTATTTTATCGTGACCTAATTGTATCATTTCACCCCTATCAATCACTAACTGTGCTAACGAGACCATAGTTTTAAAGATCTTGAGGAATTGAAAATGGCTTTGAACATTATCTCTGTTTTATGGCATGTCAGCTGAATGTGGGCAGAGACAGATCACAGCATGTCACCCAGTAGTGCCGGGAGTAAGAGTTTACCTTCTGGTGAAATCTGCATGCACTGCCGCTGGCATCATGTTTGTTTATTTGTTTGTTGCTTAATGCGGCACTAAGCAATATTCCAGCTACATGACGGCAGTCTGTAAAATAATCGAGTCTGGACAAGTCAATCCAGTGATTGACATCATGAGCATTGATCCACGCAATTGAGATCGATGACATGCATCAACCAAGTCAGTGAGCCTGACCACCCAATCCCGTTAAGTCGCCTCTTATGACAAGCATAGTTGCATTTTACGACAAGCATGGGTTGCTAAAGACCTATTCTACCCTGGATCTTCACAGGTCCACTGGCATCATGGGTATGGTGCTTACAAATCATGTAATCAGTGCTAACTAAGATTTGAATCCATGACATGGATTCTAGCCATGAGTCTTAGGCAACATATGGCTTGAGCATGTTGAGGTCATGGAGTAGAGTCCATTCAGCATAAAATATAAATACTGCTGTATTTCCAACTCCAGGTATCTGAACAAGGTGTGAAAGTCATAAACTAAAAATCACTAAAATCATTATTTTTACCAGATATTGCAAATTAGCTGTTACTCTCATGGGCAAACAAAGTATACTGTAATTGATGCAGTTGATGTTTGTTTGATGTACTTACATTGATCAAAGACGTATATAGATGTATGTACTACTTTGCATTGATTAATGAATATTTTGTTTGGTATATTAATTTTACCCAGGTCCGTGATTATTTTGTCTTCCTGATCAATGCTGACAGTGAGAGAAGTTCAGTTTGCCATTTTAATTGAAATATTCCTTGGTCACTAAAATAAAGTTCATATGAGATGTCGTTCACTGAACATTCAGATTGTGAAATGCCGAAATATTTTGTAACTTCATGTACACTGATTAAGTGAAACATTACTCATACTCGACCCTCTTAGAATAGGTCTTCAGCAACACATGCTTGTCGGAAGAGGTGACTAACGGGATCAGGTGGTCAGGCTCGCTGACTTGGTTTGATGCACGTCATCAATCCCAATTGTGTGGATTGAAGCTCATGATATTAACCACTGGATTGTTTGGTCCAGATTCGATTATTTACAGACTGCCGTCATATAACTGGAATATTGCTGAATGTGGCGTTCAACAACAAACCAACCAACCTTTGGAACCCCCCCTTTTAAAAATGCTAGATCCGCCCTGGAACACACAAACATTACTCATAGTCTTGGGCTGAGGTATCAGCTGATTATGGCTGAAATCATGAGGATCTTGATGATGGGGTCATGAACTGTATTTTTTATAAACTTTCTCTGTGATTAAGATGTGCGTGTATTTGTTCCTTTAATTTAAATACCTTTTCTGAACAGCAAAGTCCAGTACATAATCTGGTTCAACTTTGGCTACCGACAAAGCAGACTTCTCAATCAGTTGCAGTCTCTGCAACTTGTCTTCTAAATCCGTCACTTGTAATCGCTCCATACTTTCTTCTACTTTTGTCTCAAATTCCATTGTAGAAAACAGCTTTCGCGTTCTCCCAAATCACATTTTCCACAGTTGTTTACAAATCAACGTGATCAAAACAAATCACACGTGAGTAAGAAAGCTTCCATATTGGATCTCTAAAATCCGGGTGACCTAGATCTACGCACCAAATATTAACCGGACGAAACCAAAAGTAAAGTTCTCCGTAAGGTTTCTTCATTTTCAACGAGTAACATAACCTCGCACCTCGGATTATCTGTCCCTCGTGAATAAATGCTGCAAGTCCCTCGCCAAATGCTCGGGATTTACACCCTTCATTCACTTGGGACAGATAATCCGTAATTCCTCGTAGTTCGTTGGTTAGTGTCTAAGTTTTGAGTGAGTGAGTGAGTGAATATGGTTTTACGCCGCTTTTAGCAATATTCCAGCAATATCACGGCGGGGGACACCAGAAATGGGCTTCACACATTGTACCCATGTCGGGAATCGAGCCCGGGTCTTCGGCTTGACGAGCGAACGCTTTAACCACTAGGCTACCGGACTGCCCCAGTATATCAGACGTTTACCACTTCGGTGAAACCCACGAGCACGGGCATGGTGCTGACAATCCTTGAAACATAATCGGGGCGAACCGGGATTCGAACCTACAATCATAGGTTTCTGGCGTGCCCAAGGGACACAACTCTGCACAGCGAATCGCGGCGCCTGAGACGACTGGGCCACCCGGAATAACAACATACACTGATACATCTGTGATATTACCGGTTTATATGTGTATATTTAGCACCAATTCCTTTTGAAAAAGGGGCGTTGGGGTAGCCTGTTAGTTGAAGCGTTCGCTCGTCACGCGGAAGACCCGGGTTGGATTCCCCACTTGGGTACAATGTGTGATATTGCTGGAATATTGTTTATTGCTAAAAACGGTGTAAACCAATATTCACTCCATTACACATTGCGGATCAGAAAGAAGTTTGGAAATATTTTCGCAGATTAATCTTTTCGTATGACGGTAATTTTATATATGCCTGATGACTATACACGTCTACACGTGAGTATACGTTGATTGTTTTTGGTATTTAGGCTCATTGCTACAAGCTGTAGAACAGTACATGGGCTAAACTACTTCAATTTGACAGTGGACTTATGTGAAGATCGTTAACTGGGGCAAGTTGGCAAACATGCAGGTTTTCCATCTGAGGTATATGGTCAATGGCGAAACTAATGAACGACACATTTTGACGTTTATCGGACTGTATTATAGACCTGACATGCACTGACGGACGACTTCCATTATCGTTGGGACACCATTGGGGACGTCGTATTAACATATGACATTCATTATAGTTTGACCCTCATTCACAGAAGGTTCGTGCTCCTTTGAAGACCCGTGAAGATCCGGGGTAGAATTGGTCTTCAGCATCCCATGCTTGCCGTAAAAGGCAACTAGTCCTGTCGTAAGAGGCGATTAACGGGATCGGGTGGTTAGGCTTGCCGACTCGGTTGATGCATGTCACTGTATCCAAATTGCGTGGATCGCAATCACTGGATTGTCTGGTCCAGACTCGATTATTTACAGACCGCCCTCATATAGCTGGAATATTGCTGAGCGTGACGTTTAACAACAAACAAACAAACTCCACTGAACTCACACAAAATGAAACTTTAAAGTCAATACTTTAATTAGTTTTGACGATACATTGTACGCATCATGCATTGTCTTAACTGTTCTTGAATTAGAGGCGCTCGGTGACGTCATCATTGTATGTTTAGAGTGATTTAAAAATTACGTACGTTTGGGTGTGAGTAACTATGAGTCTGTTGCTTCCTCTGTGTTTGTTTACACGTGTTAAGCGATATAAATGTATGCATTCATCGATGGCATTGGCGTTAAAATTGGGAACACGTCCCTTTTGAAATAAATATTGTTTTAATGTCGAAAGCACATGAGACAAATTTAGAGAATTGATCCTATCCTTGGAAAATATGCAGTAAAAACAAAAAGCATACTATTCATAAATGTATACACACTCTAAACCCAAGTGTTCCACTTCTGAACACTAGACAGAACACATGGATGTAACACTTTTAGAACGCGTCCATGTGTTCTGAAAATATTCTGAACGTTGATGTTCTCGACCCAGAGCACGAGTGTTCTACAAACATATTTAGAACGCTTCAACGTGTTCTGACGATGTAACACTTTTAGAACGCCTGTAAAGTGTTCTGGACCGAGATTCAGAACACTACACGTTCTCGGACACGTACTTCCACATTACTGAAACGACAACTCATCGTGTGTGTCGAATACAATTTACCCGATGTTTTTCAAGGTGTAAGAATTTGAACCATACACCCATGCATATTCTCTGGCATAAAATCACACGGACGAAATTCTGAACTGCAACCATGAACTCTTTATTATATTTGTTTGGGATGATCATGGATATTCAAGTCACTTATGAGTCAGAGTTCTTCATGAAACATTACAAACTGTCGTGTAGCAAATTGAAGCATACTTCCATACTTAAGATAACTTAAGTTTCAAGTCTTTCACGAAGCGCATGTACTTCGCAGATGTTTCTTGTGGGTAAATATCCCCAAAGGACGATGTTTGTAACAGCCACATGACCATCGCAGGCTTCAGGAAACTTCATGTCAAATATGACTCCCCAACATCCTACAACACAAAACATTTATTTGGTCATAGTCATATAGTTATCAAACTCGTACATATTACATAGGGCATTCTAACAAATGTTCGTTAGTAAACGCAAGATTACCGTGACATTTGTTTCATTATTTATAGGTTGCAAAATGTTTTGCCAAAAATGTCATTTGACTAACAAAGTTACCACTTACTTGGATAAAGGTTTGAGCAAAATATACACAAGTACCTTCTTATTTGATCTGCAAAACCTTGTTTCTTTTCCTCCTTTGTGTAGACGTGTGCTGTGTGCAATAATTTCCATGGATGGTACTGATTATCTGCAATGCACCCTGAAATAGAAACAACAAGACTGATTCTCTAAAATATTTCACATAAAATAGCCAAAAACATGTCCTGTGAAGGTTTAGTTCTTTTTGTTCATTACATACTTACACTACTCTCTGCTGATTTCGATGCTTTGTCGATGCTTGCTGATCATGCCCTCGGATCCCAAATTAGATGTTCAGAGATTTGTTGCATGTAGCCCGCTTCGCACTTTCAGGCGATTCATATAGAACCTGAAATATATATTCATTTTATTTGAACATCATTCAAATAAACGGAAACGTTCAAAAAGTGACAATTGCAATTTGGATTGGAATTTCATCTCATAATTTGTAAATAAAGCGAGTGGAACAATGGCAGAAATGACGGTCAAAATGGCGAGTAATATGTCGTCTGCTATGCGTTTCGTAAGGGGCCGGTTTTATTTCGCTTGCGATCAGCATATGAATATATCGCCGAAATATTACATTATTTTAGGTACGTATTAAATATGAAACAAAAGTATTCCTAGATGGATACTTACCATAGACACACCTCAGATCATAGGAAATTGTAGCGCCAAATACATGCGATGTCACGCCAGTTTCTCACATAACGGATGTGAATCACAGAGCATGGACAGCTTTGAATGCTTGTTAGAAAAACAGAACACCGATGTTCTATTAATGGAACACGTGTTCTTGCATATAACATTATAGAACACAGCAGAACACACGCGTTCTAGGAGAGAACGCAGGCGTTCAGCTAATAGACCGTATATGTTCCAGAGCACCCATTAAAGATCCAGCTAAAATTAGCCATCAGAATGCCAGTGTTCTGATACACGTAAATGTCCCCAATGCAAGCAAGTTATTTCCATGTATTAGCAATGAGCTGTATTTCAGTAATGTTTCTTGTATTTATTCAGGCTACATATGAGTTATATTAACACAAAGTATGCCATGTTTATAAACTATTTATTATTCATCAAACTCAAAATATAACCCTTCTTATACACATTTTCTGTTTGGCTTACCAATCTACCAGCCTCTCTTCTTCTCAAAAATAAATATTCCGAAAACACAAATATGATGGTCGAATTTAAATTTGTCTAACAATATTGAGCACATAATCTCTGCTAATGTGCATGGACTTCTCCCAGGAGAGAACACACGCGTTCTACAACAGATCACAGGCGTTCAGCAATAGAACACGTGCTGCACGAATTAGAACATTCGTATTCTGTGGCAGAACGTATGGACGCGTCCAGTGTTCTATATTAGAACACATAGATTTAGAGTGTAGACAGTTGACAATATAATATACAGTGCGAAAACGATGCAGATAATCTCTACGTTTTACAGAACGGACAATACGTCCCGACAACATGTAGGTCAGAGTGCCAGCCAGGACACGGCTGTATAGGAAGTACGCAGCTGCGTCATACCGGAGCAGCATGCAACAAGTCGGGGGTCAAGCGGTCAGCTCAATCGCTGTCCAGGTTGCAGAATGTGCAGGTTGTGGGTTCGAACTTTGAATTCGCCAAGTGTTCGAGTTTCTTTATCTGTGCAACTTAGGTACTTTCTCACACATTAACAAAGGCTAAAGGCTACTCTGTGATTCAGACCCTGACACAAATATATCTAAACAGCCTTTGCAAGTCTATAATAGTCCGCAAGTCTAGATTACTGCAGTCTCTGGTCTAATTTTTATTATATTTTATTAAGACAATTAAGATAATTCTTTTTCCGTTAGATTTGTTCATTTCTGAGACCAGATGTTAGTCTAGCTATATGCCTCTATATTTGTTTTGTAGGATTCGAACAGTTCGTCATCATATGAAGCCTCCAAAAGAGAGTACACGTTGTTTAAGTGTAGTTATTTATATAGTTGTATGGTTATATATGAATATATGCTCCTATTCTCCTGATAATGTGTTTATTAGTTATTAGTTGACGCAGTAATTACATATCGTTTTACTATCCTCGATATGGGCATTTGTTGAATTGTGGTCTTACAGGTGACCTTTCGTGTGCTGCATTTGTGATGTATAATGCACGGTCGGCATATATTGTAATAGGGAATGGGGAGTATCTGACTGCACACACATCATGTGTGTGCCAAGTTTAACGAGCACACGGAAGGAATAAAAATAAGTCCAATACTGATGACACCGTTAGAATATTTTTTACCAATATCTCTTCCCATGCAAGTTAGGATGCACGGGGTGTCTTTTTCGTCCGCTTTGCCACAAAATCCGCTGAACACTCTGTATTAATCTCTGCTATGTAGCCCGACATGGAGTCGTTGTTTTACAATTTGATCAAATAGACTATCCCAACAAAATCTATTTGACAGATAAAAACAAGCATAATTAATGGAATCTAATCCCTAAATGACTCTCTCTTTCTCACCACACGGCAATTGTTCTTATTGATGTATTAAAATGTGTTCTTCTTGTTTACGGTGAAAAAACATGATTAAAATTATACAACACTGAGATCCTTACTTCAATTCTAACTGAAATGAGTGAATGAGTATGGTTTTACGCCGCTTTTAGCAATATTCCAGCAACATCACGGCGGTGCATCAACTGAAATGAGCCAGCTGTACTATTTTAGAATTGATCAATAAAGGAAAGGACATTTCTGCATTCAGCTAATATTTTAACATCTGTTTCATTTATTACTATGTTGATAATGGTAGTCATGCACATCATAAACCTATTATGTGATCCTTGTCAGCAACATCAGCAAGAACATAAATTCAGATTTTTAGAGACGGTGTTTGCATCTTATCAAAGACATATAGCCTATTAATAAATAATAATGGAAATACTGTTATCTCGTAAAGGACGTGATGGTGCTTAAGAAAGCCAAACAACAACAACAACAACATAAAAACAAACATTACTTTGTTGTGACCTAAACAATACCATTCTACTAATTCAACCGTCTCATGCCTTCAAATATATTGTGCAGTGTTACAGAAAGTGTGCCTCGGTTTGTGACAACTATGGGGGCGGTCGGGTAGCCAAGTTGTTAAAGCGTTCGCTCGTCACGCCGAAGACCCGGGTTCGATTCCCGACATGGGTACAATGTGTGAAGCCCATTTCTGGTGTCCCGCGCCGTGATATTGCTGGAATATTGCTAAAAAGCGGCGTAAAACCATACTCACTCACTCACTGTGACAACTATGTCACGCAACTCGACGACTCCGCGAAAGTTCCTGATAAATGTTTTAGTGATATATTTTTGTGTCACGTGATTTACCGAGTCAAAGTATGTTTACTTATGTATTTTTCTGAGGGGTCAAAGGTGACAGCTTGGGCAAGAAACGGGGATTTCCGAGAATCAGTTATGAGTCACAAATCGAGCCATTCCATCTTCTGCCGGGACCAGCCAATCAAAAGTGGGTAGCCATTTTTAACCAATCAGAAGAAATGACTTACTAAGGGCAGACGACAGCTGAAGATGGAACATCCGGTTCGAGTATTGTATATAATGGTAGTTGGTGTTGTTGGATTTTATTCCGGCCCCTCCATTGCTAGAGTGACAGACAAAGTTGGGAAACTTTAAGAAGATGGACGCCAAGCTCTTGCTCCTGTTTGTGTCGTCTGCTGTACTTGCCTTGTCGTCCGGTGTCAGCGTTCTCACAACTAAAGCTCCCGATGTCGTCACCCCCGACACAAACGCCGTCGCCCCTGCATATTATGATGGTGTCGACCTGAACACTTTGTCGGATGATGAACTTAACGCCCTCGTTGACGCTGAGGACGAAATACTGAAAGGAGAGCTAGGTGAGTTCTAGTGTATTTAACATTTATGATGCTGCACAAGGAGTTACCACCTGGTTATATGCTGATTTGTAGGGTTTAAATTCTAACTAAACTGACAATACGATTGAATTGATAGGGATGCAACGATATACTGAGGCACCAGGCAATTGCAAAGCGTATCGATACGAGTCCATTGATCGTCATGTTTGGAAATATCGAATGCACACCGGTGTATACGCATCGCGATAGAGCCACTACATATTGAAATAAACCGCATTATTGTTTCAAACTGGACATATTCATCCCCGGAGTAATTGATTAATTATCTACTCCAGATCCTCGATTTTCCTATGTATTATATCCCCAATGCATTTGTTATCACATTCGTATGGAGATGCAATGTAAACTGGATAATCGAGGAATATATATGGACACCTGATTTTGGAATATATGTACGGAGTTCTAATTATGACATTCGATGGCCTCAGATCGCGTTTTGTCATGTGTTGTTTGATGTAGTGTCCCGTATGGCAAGCCGTTTTCACATTTATTACAGAATTACAGATATCTTCAATTTTTTTAAAGATATCTTGAATTGAATTGAAGATATCTTAAATCGAATTGAAGATATTTTGAATGGAATTGAAGATAACTTAATTGCAGATAATTGTAGATATCGACAATAAAATTTAAGATATCACGAAATGAATTAAGGATATGGTGAAGCGTATTACTGATATCTTGAAAAGAATTGCTGATATCTTAAATTCGATTATTGATATCAAAATATGATTTAAAGACATCAAAATGTCATGTTTTGTTATGTCAATAATTCAATTCCTGATATCTTGAAACTAAATACAGATATCAATAATTAATTATTGATATCTTCAATTGTTGCCATTATTAAAGATGATACATTAATAATGTTACTTAAATTAGATAACTGATATCAATAATTGATATAAAGATATCATCAAAATCATTTATGAAATCTTTAATTGGATTTTTGATATCAGTAACGGTCAGAATTAATGATATCTTGAATTGAATTAAAAATATCTCTAATTGAATTAAAGATATCTGTAATGCATTTGTGGATATGTTTAACTTATTTCAAGATATCTTGAATTGAATTTAAGATATCTTGAATTTATTTCTAATATATTTATGTACTGTAGGATGGTAATTGTTTAATGACATCTTAAATACATTTAGAGATGTCACAAACTAATTTGTTGATATCACCGTAACATTTTCAGATATCAGTAATTGTATAATGGATATCAGATATGAATTTAAGATATCTCTGATTATTTTGTGATATCTTAAAAACATTAGTTATATCTTTAAATAAAATACCGATATCTTTAAAACAATTGAAGATATCTGTAATTCCGTAAAAAATGTGAAAACGGCTTGCCATAGTCCCGCCATCCTTCTGTCGCATTGTTACAGATTGTATTGTGGCGGTTTAAATATTTCTTATGTATAACAAAAGAAAGACAGCGTCGTGTCGTCTCTGTGTCAAACCTGATAAATGTTTACAGAATCTAAAACAGGCGCAGATAAAGTTGGATTGGAATTGTTAACAGTATATGGTATAGGTGATAAAATGTTTTTATAGCAAGCTTTACACATGTGGAATATACAAGTAAAGAAATTGCGTTCATAATTCATGTGGTAGCCATTTCTATACTTTTTGCCTTGACGAGCTGATAATTGTCAGTTAATCTGTCTTCATAGCCACGTTTACTGAAGTCACTTTCTAACGAGAGAGCGACTGAGAAACATGCACTTCCTCGTCATAAGAATGTCAAGAATATGTGGAACACAGTTATCATGTGAATTATTTCGTTTCAAGGAATGCCACTTCATTATAAAAGCAATATTACTAGAACTTGTAATTATTAAGATGTTATACTTCCTCAGCCGTTAACACGATTCGGTTATAGGGAATCACGAGGAGTCATAAAGAGACTTACTGCGAGTTTTTGTGTGTGAAAGTATACACCTCGAAGAGGCTAACCACATGTCTAGTGTGTCTAGTGGGGTGATTTTACGCGCGCTCTTCTACATTCAGTTCACGCTGATACTGGACTGTGTGATGTGTTTGGTACAGTTTTAAGAAGACAAATCATGGCTTATATTGTTCGATGATTGCGATTGCGATTTTTAAATGTATCTATTTATATGTATCATTTGACCATTTCAGATATCAAGGCCTACCTCAATGCTGTTGCCGACAAACCCCGCCTCCACAAGCGATGGGTCCCACTGGCGCGTGCTGCCTTCTCTGTAGGGCGTTCTCTGTTCCGTAGCTTCTCCCGAGGTCGGGTCTCACGGAGCGGGTCGAGACTCACCCGGCAATATAATCGTCAAGGTGAGATTAATATCACTAACATATATCATAGATGTCCACATTCTGGAAATGTTGCGGTTTTCTGTTTTAACACTCTTCTGTGGGATTAGAATCCAATAAATTGTTGGTGAAACAGTTAACACTGTAACAACAGCAGAAACAGCTGAATCGTTAGCAGGAACAGAGGCTGAACGCGGCGTACTGCAGTGCTTCAGTTGTTTGAACTTCACAGTGGTTTAGATATTGGGGGAGTAATTTCCTGCAGCCGTTTACCACCAAAGTGCAGATGTAGTGTTGCTTGTTGCTTAACGCCACAGTTAGCAATATTCCAACTAAATGACGGCGGCCTGTAAAACAATCGAGTGATTGATATTATGAGAAGCATCCCACACTGTCTTGGTAACTTGGTAGCATCGAGAAGCCTAGTAGCAATAGAAATATCATTATCACTATTATTACCAGTATAACAGGTTCAGGATAAGGTCGACATTGATTAATCAAAATCGAATTAGTCTTTTTTTATATTCATAAGCATTATCACTCCCAGTAGATTTTCTTGACAAATGCACTTGAACCAATATATCCCATATATATTATTGAATTTTGAATTTTCAGGGAATTATGGTGATGCTGTTCGCGACTTCAACAGACTTAGCCCTAGCGGTACTCGTCCCATCACTGGCAACAACAACCTGCGGGGTATCACTGGCACGATGGGCCGACACCGTGTTACTGTACGCAACACAAGCAGCAATGGCAGACCCACTCTGGAAATCCGTTCCCCCAACACAAACGGCGGCTCTACCGTCCGGAAGTTCAGATACAACCCATAAATATGCATGATGTATGATCGAGTTGGCATTTGCTAATTCAAGACAAGAAATAAATCCAGTCAATGGGGCACTTGCTTTAACGTTTCGAACAAATGGTTATTATGAAGAAACTTTTTCATTGTTTATATTTGATTACAACTGTAAGTAAAGTAAATTTTAACTGAAACATTTAATAATTCATAGTAAGTTTGTGTCCATTTGACATCGGAAGTGAGAGTGAACGTGAAGTTGAACGAATGTTACACATCTTAGATTGATGTGTCATAAGCAAGGAAGACTGTAGTGAACGAGTAAATGTGCTTTGACGAGTTCTTATATCTTTTTGTATGTGTATTTTCTTAATAAAAATGATCCATTTCATACCTTTTCCTCGTTGCCTTTGCATAATATCGTTAAAACAAAAGTACCTAGTTCAGGCAATATTGATGCCAATCCATGATGAAGGCGGAAGGTCGCTTGTACGATCCTCTTCCGCGTCATACCAAAAGACGTAAAATATGGTACTTATTGTTACCCTGCCTGGAGCTCGGCATTACGGGGATAAAAAAAGGACTGGTCTGCCCGGAGTAACTATACTGTGTCTGATTGGAGTATCAATGTTAAACTGTGGTATGGTATCCCTGTGGGCCAGCACTGTAAAACCGACATAAGTCAGTCGAACAGTGACAACAGTCAATATAGTTCCAACTGAAAACTATTTCTTAGACAGTGGCGTAACGACGTGCATGCAAATACCAATTGCCTACACATAATGTTTCTATTGGCCTTTCGCTACAATCCATCGGTCCGCCCGCTGGAGTAACTGCCCTTTATCAGTTCAACGCTGAATTTCAGTATCTTAGACAATCGTCACTATTGTTTTGATTTTCTGCATATTCCCGATGGTTAATCCCGATTCGATCGACGCCTGACAAGGGCGATGACGCATTGTGTTTTGGAAACACTGTACCTATTCTTTTAGCATATATTTGAGTCTTTATATGTATATGTCCACAACATACGCCTTTTTTATCCGTTGGCTTTATCCTGCCGCGAAAACTTCCCATTATATGATAAAGTGAGATCTATGGATCCAGGAAAGGATTAGCGTCTCAATAGTCTCAGTCAGGGTCTCAACTCTTCCCCAATGTGTGAACTGTCCCACAGACTGCACCACACGTCCATAAAAGGGTCCTTAAGTTGCAGCAGTGGTGGCGGAGTATAAGGGATTTATTCTCCCGCTCAGAAATATATTTCCCTCGAAGACGGGATACACGTGAGGATCACGCGAACCAATCAGATCTCGTCATTCTGAAATGGAGGTATGCTAAAGTATTATATCAAGATCACGTGAACCAATCAGATCTCATTATTCTGAAATGGAGGTATGATAAAGTATTATATCAAGATCACGTGAACCAATCAGATCTCGTCATTCTGAAATGGAGGCATGCTAAAGTATTATATCAAGATCACGTGAACCAATCAGATCTCATTAGTCAGACATGGAGGTATGATAACAATATTTATCGGATCCAGTTCACCAAATCTTAATTCAGGCAAGGCTACAATTTCGAATCGACTATGTGACAATAAATTAACTTGACACGGAAGTGGTAGGGTGTGTTTTAAAATAGAATTTGGAATCTGAACTTTTAAAGACCATACACGTATCTATAAAGACAAGGAATGTTCACTGAATTTGTAGTTGACTTTATCCACCAACAAATTAAAACTGGATGGCTACCCATTTCAAAGCACCAAGTTATTCTCTTTTCCCTTTTCTCACTTTTGAAGTATTCCATATATACGTGGTCTAAATCTTTGTTTACCTTTTGAAGCTCTTGCTTCCTCGTAAAACCGTCAATTAAAGACCTCATCGTGGAAATCAATTTGGAGCAAATACACATGATGACACAATGGTGGATGGATATAAACTGAATGGCACCTGCCCTGAAGGCGGGGACGTACAAGGGTTAGTTTGTTTTTGACTGGTGGAGAGCGCCACATTGGTTTCTCTGAAAGTTTTAAAAATGAAATGAGAGTTACTTACTCTGGACATGTTTTAACCAATCGCCTGTCCCATTCTGTGACTTAGTCATGTTTCGTAATGTAGATAATCCACGCAATTTGTTCATTTTGTTTTTAAAAGAGCCCAAAATGTTTAGGGGAAATAATCACTAAAATCATTATTTTTACCAGATATTGCAAATCAGCTGTTACTCTGACGGGCAAACAAAGTATACTGTAATTGATGCAGTTGATGTTTGTTTGATGTACTTACATTGATCAAAGACGTATATAGATGTATGTACTACTTTGCATTGATTAATGAATAGTTTGTTTGGTATGTTAATTTTACCCAGGTCTGTGATTATTTTGTCTTCCTGATCAATGCTGACAGTGAGAGAAGTTCAGTTTGCCATTTTAATTGAAATATTCCTTGGTCACTAAAATAAAGTTCATATGAGATGTCGTTCACTGAACATACAAATTGTGAAATGCCGAACTATTTTGTAACTTCATGTACACTGATTAAGTGAAATATTACTCATACTCGACCCTCTTAGAATAGGTCTTCAGCAACAAATGCTTGTCGGAAGGGGTGACTAACGGGATCGGGTGATCAGGCTCGCTGACTTGGTTGATGCATGTCATTGTAACCTAATTGCGTGGATTGATGCTCATGATATCAATCACTGGATTGTCTGGTCCAGACCCGATTATTTACAGACTGATGTCATATAACTGGAATATTGCTTAATGTGGCGTTAAACAACAAACCAAGCAGCCAACCAACCTTTGAACCCCCCCCCCCCCCCCCCCCATTTAAAAAATGCTGGATCCGCCCTTGAACACACAAACATTACTCATAGTCTTGGGCTGAGGTATCAGCTGATTATGAGCGAAATCATGAGGATCTTGCTGATGGGGGTAATGAACTGTATTTTTTATAAACTTTCTCTGTGATTAAGATGTGCGTGTATTTGTTCCTTTAATTTAAATACCTTTTCTGAACAGCAAAGTCCAGTACATAATCTGGTTCAACTTTGGCTACCGACAAAGCAGACTTCTCAATCAGTTGCAATCTCTTCAACTTGTCTTCTAAATCCGTCACTTGTAATCTCTCCATACTTTCCTCTACTTTTGTCTCAAATTCCATTGTAGAAAACAGCTGTCGCGTTCTCCCAAATCACATATTCCACAGTTGATTACAAATCAACGTGATAAAAACAAATCACACGTGAGTAAGAAAGCTTCCATATTGGATCTCTAAAATCCGGGTGAGCTAGATCAAAGCACCAGATATTAACCGGACGAAACCAAAAGTAAAGTTCTCCGTAAGGTTTCTTCATTTTCAACGAGTAACATAACCTCGCACCTCGGATTATCTGTCCCTCGTGAATAAATGCTGCAAGTCTCTCGCCAAATGCTCCGGATTAACACCCTTCATTCACTCGGGACAGATAATCCGTAATTCCTCGTAGTTCGTTGGTTAGTGTCTAAGGTGTGAGTGAGTTGGGTTTAACGCCGCTTTTAACAAAGGCTTCTGGCTTGCCCTAGGGCCGCAACTCTGCACAGCAAATCGCGGCGCCTTAGACGACTGGGCCACCCGGAATAACAACATACACTGGTACATCTGTGATATTACCGGTTTATATGTGTATATTTAGCACCAATTCCTTTTGAAAAGGGGCGTAAGGGTAGCCTGTTAGTTAAAGCGTTCGCTCGTCACGCCGAAGACCGGGTTCGATTCCCCAAATGGGTACAATGTATGATATTGCTGGAATATTGTTTATTGCTAAAAACGGTGTAAACCAATATTCACTCCATTACAAAATGCGGATCAGAAAGAAGTTTGGAAATATTTTCGCAGATTAATCTTTTCACAAGACGGTAATTTTATATATGCCTGATGACTATACACGTCTACACGTGAGTATACGTTGATTGTTTTTGGTATTTAGGCTCATTGCTACAAGCTGTAGAACAGTACATGGGCTAAACTACTTCAATTTGACAGTGGACTTATGTGAAGATCGTTAACTGGGGCAAGTTGGCAAACATGCAGGTTTTCCATCTGAGGTATATGGTCAATGGCGAAACTAATGAACGACACATTTTGACGTTTATCGGACTGTATTATAGACCTGACATGCACTGACGGACGACTTCCATTATCGTTGGGACACCATTGGGGACGTCGTATTAACATATGACATTCATTATAGTTTGACCCTCACTCATAGAAGGTCCGTGCTCCTTTGAAGACCCGTGAAGATCCGGGGTAGAATTGGTCTTCAGCATCCCATGCTTGCCGTAAAAGGCAACTAGTCCTGTCGTAAGAGGCGATTAACGGGATCGGGTGGTTAGGCTTGCCGACTCGGTTGATGCATGTCACTGTATCCAAATTGCGTGGATCGCAATCACTGGATTGTCTGGTCCAGACTCGATTATTTACAGACCGCCCGAATATTGCTGAGCGTGATGTTAAACAACAAACAAACAAACTCCACTGAACTCACACAAAATGAAACTTTAAAGTCAATACTTTAATTATTTTTGACGATGCATTGTACGCATCATGCATTGTGTTAATTTTTCATGAATTAGAGGCGCTCGGTGACGTCATCATTGTATGTTTAGAGTGATTTAAAAATTACGTACGTTTGGGTGTGAGTAACAATGAGTCTGTTGCTTCCTCTGTGTTTGTTTACACGTGTTAAGCGATATAAATGTATGCATTCATCGATGGCATTGGCGTTAAAATTGGGAACACGTCCCTTTTGAAATAAATATTGTTTTAATGTCGAAAGCACATGAGACAAATTTAGAGAATTGATCCTATCCTTGGAAAATATGCAGTAAAAACAAAAAGCATACTATCTTCATCAATGTAGACAGTTGCATGGACAATATTAATAATATACAGTGCGAAAACCATGCAGATAATCTCTACGTTTTACAGAACGGACAATACACAGAAACTGTCAACAAACGGAACCTTTTCGTGACTGTACATTAACAGTTGTAGAGACTTCAACAGACGTGCTATAGTTTCAGGAAGAAGTGGTTTCGTAGAACGCGGGTAAATCTGAAAATGGGAATTCCGTCCGATACCAAGAAACCTGCCAGCCGATGTTTTTGATTATAACTGCACCAGGAACACATCCTCCGTCCCGACAACATGTAGGTCAGAGTGCCAGCCAGGACACGGCTGTATAGGAATTACGCAGCTGCGTCATACCGGAGCAGCATGCAACAAGTCGGGGGTCAAGCGGTCAGCTCAATCGCTGTCCAGGTTGCAGAATGTGCAGGTTGTGGGTTCGAACTTTGAATTCACCAAGTGTTCGAATTTCTTGATCTGTGCCACTTAGGTA